GCATTACAATCCCCTCTCCGTGTATGAATCATCTAATTATTGTTCCGCTGAAACATATCTATAAATGATTTCATACAAAACGATGAACACATAATGTTGACGAGAAGCTGTGATAGCATCAGTCATAATTGTCAGGCAGACAAAGACAAACGTGACAGTCTGTGGTAAAGTTAACGTGCATTCCGCGACAGATGTTGGAATGAGGTAAATGAATTGCACGTGTAACGCATACCTGAATGTGAAGTCAGAGCGATATTTGTTACACCTAGCCTGGAGCCGAGCCAGTATTCACACAGAAGCATTTTTCATTCATCTTAATGCAGCCTCTTTTATATAAATTATTCCTGTTTACAACGGTGATAAACAATTAACTGAAACAAAGGTCTGATTCAAAGAAACGCTTTATTCAAGTCGGCATTAATCATGATGCATTAGTGTTCTCGCACACCGCTGCCAGATGTTCGTATACATTGTAAATATTTGTGGTATACCTCCCCCCTCCCTCTCTAGTAGTAGTAGATTGACACAGTTAATTTTACTTCAGTGCATCTACTTACCCAGTTATTCACGGCAATAAGTCATAATTATAATGATTCAAATGCACTGAACAGACATTAAGTTGTTAAAGCGATTGAACATATTAACTGTATCTCTGTTTTTGCAACTTAATGTAATGTTTTTATTTGAGCCGCGTCAGGATCCATGCTGTTCGCTATCAGTTTCTCTACTTGTAATAGAGTTGGTAAGCGAACAGCATGGATCCTTAACAGACTGCGCGGATGCGCAGGCTGGTCTGGATCCATGCTGGTCGCAAACCCATTATGTTGGTTTTGTCGTGGCGCGGCTCATTTGGTAATATTCTGAACATAAGTAAAGTCTATAGCTATTCGACTGTCTGTTTGATGCCGCCTTTCATTAAGTCACCGATAGTAATATGTTTATAGGGGCAAATTCATATGAAAAGTTCACATCTATATTAAAAATTTGAAAATATGCGTTACATAATTATGACGTTGATTTTTAAGAACGTTTAACGCATACATCAATTATTATGTCATGTGTATACACGTCCTTCAATACTTTTCTCGAAATTTGCAGATCTTAAAATGCTTAGCCATCACTTCAAACTTGTTTTCAAGAAAGAAATCTTCAATAACAAAACGCAAAAAATGTCGTATAATTTCGTGTGAAGTTTATTTTTGTGGGACACTGACCGCGAGAATGATGTAATTCGTAAGATTAAACATGTATTGTAGACATTAAACTGTTTGTTTTCTTTCGATCTAAAATGTAAATAAGACAAGTATCAGTGTCACCAAATTGTTCTAGACGATTTAGTTAGACAAGAAGCGTAGACAATGGCTGACATTGATTGATCGTATAAAATTAATCCGGTCGTTGTGGTCATACTACACTTAACAAAGTAACATTTAGTAGTGTTTACCCTTGTAAAACGGTTCGGTATACTGATATAGTTAGAGGAAATAATGCAGATTCCTTTCTGCTGCATATGTTGTTCTCTTTAAGCACATTTTATCAAAATACATACAACTGTACGTCTGTTAGAAAATTCTCCTGGAAGAATCTAAATTATATCTATACTTAACGTATATATTCTTTGGTGAAGGAATTTTGAGCTTTATTCCGCCTCGTTGCATTTTTTCTGTACAACATGCATGTATAAATATGTTTGTTATGCAACATGAGGTATATTGATCGGGGTATAACCGGTATATTCTGTGACAGCTGTCCGCTGTTTTCATGTTTAAGTAATAATCTGTGAAATGACCACACATATCCTGTACAAGTACGGCACCAACTTTCTGATAATAATCATTTTATAAGGTGTGTACATCTAAAGCTATATTGCGTCCAATATTTTAAAAAATCATATTTATATATTATAATACTGATATTATTTGAAACTTAAGGCTTAGAAAATAATCAAGCTGCGCGGATATATATAGAGGATCTTTAATACTTTCTTAATTGCAAGAATAAAATATTATGAGGTCGTTTTGAGTGCAATGCTGAATTCTATAGACGAGTACACAGCTGTTAATACCCATAGTGCCTCGTCCGATATGAGTTTTTCAGCTATGTACGAGTCCAAAAGAACCCGTATAGTACTCAAAACAATGAATAGTGAACTCTTTATTTAACACTACCAATAATTCTTAAGGAGAAAACACATTAAATTAAAGAAAACTTTGAACGTCAATCGTATATGTTTGTATTGTTTTAAAGATAAAGATATTTCAAGTATAATATCGATTTGATATGGAACTTTTTGGACTTAAACAATAAAAAACGAAGCTAGGACGTGTCATATGGATTTAATATGGCTGTTCTTTTTTGTGGACTCGGAAAATTAAAATACATGATACATGTATATGTTTGGATTTCTAAGCAGACGTTACAATGACTTTATTTTGCAATTACGGCTGTTTGCCAATCTTTGAATAAATTACTTCGTTTGTCGATTGCCGACAGCCTTAACATAGAGTTTATCAGACAATTTATTTTAAGAGCGCTTTTGTAACATTGATTTTATGTGTAGATGAAATTCAGGACCTACGTGACGCCGGTTGGTTAAATAAATTGGACGTTTCTAGTTTGAGTACATTTGTTTATAACCTTGGAATTTTTTATAATGGGCCAGTGGCTCAGAAAAGGTATTTTTCTTCATAAATAATTTCTACTTGTAGATACATGTATCATGATCGAAAAGCATTTTGCGTTTTATGCCGGCTCGCCACGGCGAGCCGGTATTACGGTAGGATTTTACTGAGAAACAACCTAAAACTCCGAAGCTATCCAAAAATTTAATCGAAGCTTGGCTTCCAGCTTTCTACAAAATTTATCTATCAGGGCTAGGATCCAAAATTATTTAGCCAATCAAATTTAATCTTACATAGCGTCAAAAAACCTTCAATTTTCACGCCATTTTTAAAAAATCAGCAAGTATTGTTTTGAGCGCAAAGATATAATGATGATTAAAATGTGTGTCTTTATGAATTCTTTTCAATAAATCATATTTACACTGACTTCTGATTTAGCGATTTCACCTGTTTTCTCTGTAGTAAGTTTTCGTTTGGTTAATTAACATAAGTGTACATCTGGTTCTGTGCATTTTTTATTTTTCCTTTTTTCCGGTCATTTTATCCTTTCCGGTATTTAGTGTATGTATTTACTGGCCGGGATCCGGGACGCCCGGGATCCGGGATCGTATAAGATATGGAGGAAAAACCTAATGAACTATATTTGTGTTGATTGTTGTCGTAATGAAAGGCCATTAAACGTTAATTTTTTTATTGTATATAATGAACGTTAAATTAATTTAACTTAGAATATAGATATATTTAGAGCTATTTATTAACAAACTTAAAATGCGAAAATCACAATACTTATAATTATATGCCTAATTAATTGGAAAAATCAAAGACTATTTTCTTGAATTGGTCAAATCCCGGGATCCCTATATGTTTTAAAACGATCCCAGCTTTTCTGAAAACTATATACTTGAACTGGCCAATCCGTGAGATCTATTACATTTTAATACGATCCCGGCTTTTCTGGCTGAATTGATTGACAACTTGTGTTTACTTTAGGACTTGTGCCTCTCATTCCAATACTAAATAACATATATGTATTACAACTTAATTTTGTATAAAGAGACATCTTTATGAAATCTACCTATCTAACATTTTGTGGTCAAGGTCAACAGGCCATATAGTAAATGTGCATAGACATAGGTTCTTCATTCTATCTGTTTACATGCACCTTCATATATACTCATACTCATCTTGGTTAAACTGAGAGAACTTTATATGTCACTTTCAGTCAATGAGTTTAAGATTTTGAATTTACTGGCCCGAATTCCAGTTTTGAATTTATTCTACTAAATAATTAACAAAATTTTCTTAAATTTACACTGGCCTGAACTTATATACACTGGCCATCGGGCACCGGGCCAGTGTTGACTTCACTTTTATTTTGATGTTCGCTGAAGTCTCTTCAGCTAACAGAACTGTCATTTTTACATTTAAACACACCCCTTGAAAAAAATTACGAAGCGAGTCGCTACTAGCTTTTTTAAAAGCTAACCTTGTTAACTTATTAAAATAGATTCTAACTTTCAAGAAGAAAAAAAGTGATTTACTAGTTATTATATTGGTACTTGTATGATCATAATTTCCTATGCAGCAGTGATTTGTCTTCTTAAAAAAACGTGTAATTTATAGCAATGATAAAAGATTTCAGCATAGATGAGTGCTGAAATAATGCAATAAATGATCTCTTTATACACGTCTTTATGTACAATGTACAACAGGATCTGACAAGTGTTTCAAATTCATAGCAATATTATAATTGTTGCATTAGAATGCTTAAAGTCAAAATGCACGTGAAACGTGTTCTCTCATTGACCATTTTGTGTTTGTTTACTCTCCGATTGCAAATTTGACATTTCAGGTCCTATAATTTTTAATTACATGTACACTTTAAACATCTTTAACACGATTTAAGTAAATAAAGATTGTCTTATCTTTAAACAACGTTGGCAATCGGCTTACATCACATACTGGAAGTAAATCATTAATGTTTTGTAGAATGTTGTAAATTTTATAACAAACTAGAAAATATTTCATGATAATGTAATTACAATTTTACTAACTACGATGAAAGCATTACCATAATATCATTATAATTTAGAAAAAAGTGAATAATAATGAGATACTGTTGAATACACCAAACCATGTTAAACGTTATATTCTTTTTTATTCGTTAGAGCATAATTTAAAGTATGAATTAGTTTTTGCTATGTATTTAGCGTTGCTTTGAAGTTAGGTTCAATATTTTTATTCCGATTTATTGCAGGTCAGATACTGATTGATGATGAATATTCAATTACTAGTATGTTACCTAAGGAAAGTGCTTTTAAATATTTGTACTTGAAAAAGTATTACACAAAACTAAAAGTAACATTTTTGTATTTTCAGCGCCACCTCCCGAGGAATCAAAGAGCGCTACAGATATTGCAGAACCGTCTGGTAAGAGCTTAGAAGAACAAACAGCGAGTGCCCCTGCCATATCTATCAAAGAAAAGGACGAAGATCCGAAACTTCAAAGACAATCAGAAAGTGCTGTAACTGACCTCCAGACAGATACACAAGCTATGGAACAGCAGGGAGTTGATCAGCCTAAAATGGAAGGAGAAGCTGGCAGAGCAGGCACACCTGTTGCCGTAGAGGCTGTAGAGATTGCTATTGATTCAGCAAAGAATCTAAACGAAAGTGAAGCTCAAGCAGCCGTTACAGATCTTGTACAGGCTGTTGAAAATGCATCAGCCGAACATCAGGCTATTGAAACTGAACAAAAGGAAGAACAATTAACTACTGAAAATGCTCAAAATATTTCAGATGAACAGGGCACAACTGACATACCGTCGATAGCAGTTCAAGAACATATTGAAACTACTAAGGAAGAATTAAAAGCAGAGACTGCGGTAACAAACGAAACGCCACCACAAGAAACTGATGAGCAAACTGTAGAGTCACAAGAACAAGAAGCTACAGAGCATCCAAAAGATTCCCAGCTTGCTGGACAAGAACCAAAGACGGAAGAAAAACCCACAGAGGAATCAGCGCCAACAGAACTGGCAGATCAACCGCCTGTCGAAGAACCAGTACAAAAAGAGCAAGTAGTGCAGCAGGCCGTTGTAGAAACATTAGAAGCAGAAACTGTAGAACAAACTGAAGCAGCGCCTGTAAGTCAACAAACAACTGACGAGTCAGTTCAAAGATCAGAACCTTCACAGCCAGAACCTGTAGACCAAAAAGCAGTGGAATCGGTACAAAATCCAGAATGTACAGAAGAGCAAACATCAGATGTAACAGACCAACCCGCAGACGGATCAGCACAAGTAGAAATTGTAACGCCACCGGTTAAGGAATCGGACAAAGCTAATGAACAACAAGCAGGTGAAGAAGTTCAGCAAGAAGAATTATCTAAAACTACCGGTCAATCAGCAGAAGAATCGGCACAGCAGTCTGTAGAACCTAAAAAAGATGAAGAACAACAACCTGCAAAAGAGCCATTAGCACAATCAACACAGCAATCAGAAACTAATGCTGAAACCACAGCAGATTCGACACAACTTCAAGATTCTGAGGAATCAGCAAATGCAGGACAAAAAGACACATCAGAACAAACAACTCTGGAATCAGTACCTGCAGACTCTACAGTAAAGCCAGCTGAAGAATCGGCACAGCCAGAACCTTCAGAACAGCCAGCTGAAGAAACAATACAGCCAGAAGCATCAGAAAAGCCAGCTGAAGGAACAGCACAGACAGAATCTTCAGAACAGCCCGCTGAAGAAACAGCACAGCCAGAAGCATCAGAAAAGCCAGCTGAAGAATCGGCACAAGCAGAATCTTCAGAACAGCCAGCTGAAGAAACAGCACAGCCAGAATCTTCAGAACAGCCAGCTGAAGAATCAGCACAGCCAGAATCTTCGGAACAGCCAGCTGAAGAAACAGCACAGCCAGAAGCATCAGAAAAACCAGCTGAAGAAACAACCCAGCCAGAAGAATCAGAAAAGCCAGCTGAAGAGTCAGCACAAGCAGAATCTTCGGAACAGCCAGCAGAAGAAACGATTCAGCCAGAAGCATCAGAAAAGCCAGCTGAAGAAACAGCACAAGCAGGATCTTCGGAACAGCCAGCAGAAGAAACGACACAGCCAGAAGCTTTAGAACAGCCAGCTGAAGAAGCAGCAAAGCCAGTGTCATCAGATCAGCCGGCAGAAGAATCGGAAAAGCATGCAGAAGAATTGGCGCAACCTGAATCGTCAGATTCGCCGGCGGAAGAATCGGCACAACCAGAATCGTCAGAACCGCAAGCAATAGAGTCTGCACAGCCAGAATCTTTACAACAGTCAGCTGAAGTATTGACACAACCTAAATCGTCAGAACCACCAGCGGAAGAAACTGCACAGCCAGAATCGGCAGAACAGTCATCGGAAGTTAAGGCAGAACCAGAATCGGCAGAACCGCGGGCGGAAGAATCAGCACAGCCAGAATCGGCAGAACAGTCATCGGAAGTTAAGGCAGAACCAGAATCGGCAGAACCACGGGCGGAAGAATCTGCACAGCCAGAATCGGCAGAACAGTCATCGGAAGTTACGGCAGAACCAGAATCGGCAGAACCGCGGGCGGAAGAATCAGCAAAGCCAGACTCGACAGAAAAGCCATCTGAAGAATCGGCACTGTCAGAATCGTCTGGACAGCCAGCGGAAGAATTGGCACAGCCTGGATCATCAGAAACGCCAGCGGAGGAATCGGCACAACAAGAATCATCTGAAAAGACAGAAGATAAATCCGCACAGCCAGAATCTTCAGAACTTCCAGTGAAAGGATCGGCACAGTCTGGAGCTATAGATAATCAACCAGAAACAGCTGAAACGACTGAAGAATCTTCTAATGTAGAAAAGAAAGTTGAAAGCACAAATAATGCTTTAGAAGAGTCTACGGAAACACCTGTTGAATCTAATGTAACAAAGACCGAAGATGCACCAGCATCAACGGCAGAAATAAAGTCAAATTCCGCTGAAAAGTCACAAAAAACCAATGACGAGGAAGCAGAAAATAATGAAGGGAGTGCAGTGACCAACCAAAATCAACAGCAGGAACAAGTTAATAATAATGCGGAGTCAGAACAGAAAAACACTTCGGCAGAATAACAATCAGTAGAAAAAAGTTTATAATACTAAAAAACATTCTTTTATGGGTGTAAAAGGGACTTTTTTTAGAATTATTTATAGCTGAGAACGTGTTTGGAATTTTCATAAAATTCTTGAACGTTTTAGTACATTAGTATTAACTTTGTATGTAATATATATTGATAAAATGCATTCATTTATTTTGCCTTATTAACGTTTTTTGTTTATCTTTTATAAGCAATGCTTTAACATACCAATTTTATCCTTGAATGATTTCATGTGAGCTATTAAAGTTATATCGCACGCTCGTATACAATTTTTAACATATATTTATATACTTAATAACTGTAACATTCAATAAACTGTGATAAAATTACAACTACTGATTCATTAATATTCTTTCACATGCTTGGTATTTTATTCATCTTCTTAGGTACTTATCAATGAAACAAGACATAAATGCAGCAGATTTTTACTCCTTGTCGTGGATTCTTACCTTTGGACTCCTGTTAATGGTACATATAGTCTTTAATTACATGTACGAGTATATATTACCAGCAGTTTCTCGAGTAAGAACCATAGGTTATTGCTGAGGTACTAAAATGGGTTTATTGTGCATCAATATTTGCGGATAAGCATATTCAGACTGATCTTAATTAACTAACAGATGTATTAGTACAAAAAGAGCAACACCAATTCTGATTAAAAAATGTATGATATGAATGGAACTAGGACTGAGATACCGATCTCTTATCTTCCGTTTTATCAACATTCAAACAGTGTAATACAACATATATCTCACTGACTCAATTGTCAGAATACTTGTGCACATAATATATCCCAAGCTTTTTTTCCAAACTATAGCGTTTTAATGACGTCAAATCTCTAAACGAATTTTCACAATATTATCATCATGAACATCCGCGCAGTCTGATCAGGATCCATGCTGTTCACTATCAGTTTCTCTACTTGTAATAGGGTTAGTAAGCGAACAGCATGGATCCTGATCAGACTGCGCGGATGCGCAGGCTGGTCTGGATCCATGCTGGTCGCAAACCCATTATGTTGGTTTTGTCGTGACACGACTCAAATGGTTATTTGATAGCAACTCAATGCGTATATAGTCGAATGTTTAAAAAAAAACACCAGGAAAAATGTAGGAAATATTTTTGTTTGTCTGTATACAGAACAATATGAAGCAAAGACATCACTGGAATTAAATTGTTAACATTATTTTACTTGATGACAGTATCTTGTTACTTGTTACCTTGTGAACGAAGTTTAAGGTAACCACATGAAAACAAATTCTACAAGTGTTCGACTATTGTACAGCCAAGTGCCGAGAATTTTTTTATTTAATTTAAGGTATTACCACCCTAATGGGCACTATAAGGAACTAACAAATTGACATCATGGGTCAGATATATACCTTAAAGTACACCTGTATGCAAAATTTAAACAAAGTTTACCGTACGAAAATCAAGTTATGGCCACTTTTCTGAACTCCAGCTAGGATGTTATGAGGGCCCTTTATTAGAAATGAGGAACCTTTAAATAATCTGCAATAACATTCTAATGAAAAATGTTTTTCCTATTAATTTTTGGTAAGAAACAAATAGTACCATTCAGCTCACAATCCACATAAGCAAAACTATGGTTTCTACTTAAAATTTATGAAATCTGTATAAAAATGTTACCCTACCCCATCCATTTTTACCACGTGTCTGACCATTTTCCTACTTAGGGAGCCTAATTTAAAAAATCTTTAAAATTTACCCAAATGAGTGCCTGTTTTCAAAGTTTCCCTAAATTTTGAAAGAAGTATATTGGTTGATCTTGTAAAATATGAAATACTTTTACCGTCTAGTTTTGATTTTATTACACTTTGAAATTATCAGGTACCATATTTATTACTAGATTTAGCATAATTTAGCCAATAAATACCTATATAAATTAAAATAATCAAAATTAAACACGTTTTTCTTTCCAAATAGGACATGAGAGATACATAAATAATGTTAAAAGAAAAAAAGAAAGAAAAAAAGTTGACCCTTCTGGGGATTGAACCCACGGCCCTCATTTTCAATGTAGTTAACAGTAGTTCTAGCCTATTTGAATACTCTTCAAAGTTGAGGTAATGCATTAGGATGGTAATACCTTAAGGAATATATATGCACGACATATATGAAGCAAATAGGTCCATTGCCGCCTTAATTGAATGTAAATATATCATGTCTATCAATCACGAAAGGTCCTTCTCTAAAATGTTTATTATATTAATCTTAATTATAAAATTAATTTGCGCTAGTTAATTGAAAACCTCTGTTACATGAATACTCACTGAAAGTTTCAAATATTCATTAACAAATCGTCCATCCAATAATTACATATCAATGCTACGTTCTTCAATTCACTCGCACGATTTCTTTAGTTATCATATAAACTGGTTGTTTCTTACAATGCACTACTGTAACACAATTAGGTTGCGTTTGATCCAAAATTACTTTTCTGAAAGCTACAGGTAATAAAGACTTGTATATGCTGGCAGTATAGATTCAGGTCGGCATGCACGTCACACTCTACGCTATAAGATACTTAAACTGAAATCGACATCATACAAATTACAGACAGTTCCAAAACATCAATCCAGGACTTATTATATCACTCATATTATTTGATCAGGACAACAGTAAAATAACCTGTATCGATAATCAACAGGCCGTTGTTAACATAGTCTCAGCCATTGTTTAAGTCTCAGCCATTGTTTAAGAAATGTTCACGGCAAATACAATTTAAATTAAAACGTTAAGAATATAAGAATCTTTCACATCGGAATATCTAGTCGAGGGTAACTGTTTACGGCGGTAACGAGGCTCTGTCGAGTTTCCGCTAAACAGTTACCCCGAGAGCTAGATATTCCCGTCTGTACCGACAGCCGATGTTTGATTCTTTTTCTTGCATATTTCATATCAATTACTTTCAGAACAGAAATTACGAAAACTGATTTTCTCATTACTTAGCCTTCATTCATAACGGTAAAACGACGTCATCCTAAGAACGCAATTCATTCATAGAAGGTGCGCGGCAATGAAGTCATTTAAAGCACGAGACTTGTCTTACATGGCGGTGTAAGACAGGTTTTTCTTAGCACCAGTGTAAACGGTAGATAATCCTGTCTGATATGCAAGAATGGTTTATTCAATAGCCACAAGCTTTGACACTCATTCACAGCCTGCTTGAGGTAGTGTCAAAGATTAGCAACTAAAGGTACGTAAAGTATAATCGCTATACGTACGTAAAGTATAATCGAGTTCGAATTCAACCAAGCACTTAGGAGTTTTTTTATAGCCAGCTTATGGAACATTACTGGTTTTACTCTGGTGCCCATTCGTACCTAAAATAATACATGTATGCACAAAATGACATTATGCTGTCACAAAGATAACACCTGGTCCAGGATATCAAAATATCCACGAGAGTATTGATAATAGACAGTCGTAAATAGAAGGGAAGCTATTACTTTTGTATTTCGGATCCAGCACTTTCTTTATATGAAATGAATGACATACAAAGAGTCTGTTGGTGTGTTTACATGTCATATATTCAACAACACAGCTTTACCATGTATTTTCACACACAGGGTTCTATTACATTCATCACATTGTTTTTTTTTTATACATGTATAATAAAATGTTTCTTTCATGTGAGGAAGCTATCCAGCTAGCTTACGGAACGCCCGGGGGTTTCTTATGGGGGGTGGCAAGTTGCAAAAGGGGCACAAAGGGTCTTCCTCCACCAGTAAAACTAAAAACCCGGTCGCGTTGGGGACCTTTTATTTTGGGGTGGGGGTTTTTGGGACGTTAAACCCCAAAAACAAACAAAACCCAAATAAAAAAAGGGTTTTATTTAAAAATTAGAAGGGGGTGTTTTTTCATTTGTTGTCGGGCTCGGGTTTATTTTTTAAAAAAATTCATGTAGGTGGTAAAAGGGGTCGTGTTTGATGGCAGTATATTTTTAAGAAAACAAAGTTAATTAATTTTCACAGTTATTTTAAATAAAATAAAATAATTTTTTAAGTGTTAAAAAATGAAAACACATAAATCACATATAAATTTCTTATTACAGATTTCAGTATCTCATTAAAAACCTAATATTAAAAAGTTCATTTCATTGAAATTTTTCTTTTCTTTTTTAAACATTTTTCACTTGTAAACACTTTCTCTAAATATCTAACAAATATTTTATCACTGTTTATATTACACTATAGATGAATGTTGTCTCTTAACATGTCATTAAACAATTTGTTGTGACTGTTCAGCAACCTAGGACCATATTCTGATTGTACAGTCACTGCCTCCAGACACCATTATACTCTCCTGTCCTATCAAATATCAGACACTGCACGGCATCCTCGTGCCCAACCAGAGAGCTTATCTGTAATATAAAATCATAAATGTCTTAAAATTGTTTTACAGACAAATATTATTTTTTATTCTCCCTCTGAATGAAAGCATTTTATAGATATCAGACACAATATCTAAATACTGCTATTTCATAACTACAGTGTCACTTCTAGTGAAGAATCATTGTAGGACAATAGAGCTGCATGCCTTCAAGAAAAATGGGTAAGATTAAAGAAAATTTAAAAAGTTTAAAAATTTAATTTGTTTTTTTTGTTATATGAAATTTAAAGGGAAAAGTTTTTTGCAGTTTTTAATCAAATTTTTTCCTACTGTGGGGCTACACATTTTGGGGGCTTTTTTTTTGCAATTTTGAGCTTTATTTGGTAATTTACCTGGAGTTAAAGTGTTGTTTGCAATGTGAAAATTACTTTCTTTGTTCACTTGACAATATTTTACTTTTTAATACATTTCCAAATTTTTTTTATAAAAATTAGTATGAATCTGGAGGCATGCTGCTTTAATGCCACTAGGGTATCAATTTGATACAAACTAAGAATTTATACAGATGTATCATTACAAACAGGGGCAACCGTGGCCGAGTGGTTAAGGTCGTTGACTTTAAACCACTTGCCCCTCACCTCTGTGGGTTCGAATCCCGACAGGGATGCACGGAAGGGCACCTGAGGTCTTCCTCCACTAGTAAAGCTGGAACGTCGCGATATGACCTATTCTGTGTCGATGTGATGTAAAACCCAAAACAAACAATCATTACAAACTAACACTAAGTCTAGAATTATGAGAACTGCAGATCTTGAATCTTTGTAAGATCTTAATTAAATAATATGAACAAAACAGCAAGAAAACCCTGGCAGTATAGCTCACCCTTCCGTTTGCAACTTCATACATCTTGATCGTACTATCATTGCTTGCTACAGCCAATACTTGACCTGTTTGTTATGAACAAAAAACAAAGCAACATTTTAGAATAAGTTTAAAACTTAAATTTATTCTATGCCTTTTCTTTATATTTTTTTACACAAATGAATGGGTAAAGAAATTACCATGTTAACTAAAACTACTCTTTGTAATTGACAAAAAAGTTGTAAAGAAATGGTGACAGATAGTTACATCCTTATTAAATGCATTATTATTGTTAAAATGTCCATCCATATGCCCGATTGTGTTGTAAGAAAGTATCATACAATGTGTAATTTTAACCAAATACTGACACTATTCGTACATTGTGATATACACTGTTATAATATCTTGCGTAATCCTTTTGGTGCTAGTGTTTGAAAAGTGGAAATTACTCAAGAGCAATGAACCAAAAACAAAAACAAAAATAAAACAAGAGGGCCATGATGGCCCTGAAGTCGCTCACCTGTATATGGGCCCCCGTAGCGGGGCCAGTTTAAACCCCAGGGCTTTTATTGAACAAACTTGGTAGACACCCATTAGAAGATGTTTCATGCTAAACATCTAAGGTCTAGCTGGTCAAGTTTTTTCTTTACACATATAGTAAAAAACAATGACACACCTGGGTCAGGGCCTGTTAGGACTCAAGGGCTTTTATTTGAACAATCTTTGTAGACACTTACTAGAAAATGTTTCATGCTTAATATCTGAACTCTAGCTATTCAGGTTTTTTTCAAAGAAGATTTTTAAGTTTTTGCTATACACATATAAGGAAAATCAATGACCCCTGGGATGGGGCCAATTTTGACCCCAGGGCTTTAATTTGAACAAACTTTGTAGACACTTACTAGAAGATGTTTCATGCTTAATATCTAAACTCTAGCTATTCAGGTTTTTTCAAAGAAGATTTTTAAGTTTTTGCTATACACATATAAGGAAAATCAATGTCCCCTGGGGTGGGGCCAATTTTGACCCCAGGGCTTTTATTTGAACAAACTTTGTAGACACTCACTAGAAGATGCTTCGTGCTTAATATCTAAACTCTAGCTATTTTAGTTAAATTTTCAAAGAAGATTTTTTAAGTTTTTGTTATACACATTTAAGGAAAATGAATGACCCCCGGGGCGGGGCCAATTTTGACCCCAGGGCTTTTATTTGAAAAAACTTGTTAGTCACTCACTAGAAGATGTTTCATGCTTAGTATCTAAACTCTAGCTATTTGTTTTTTTTCAAAGAAGATTTTTTAAGTTTTTGCTATACACATATAAGGAAAATCAATGACCCCGGGGCGGGCCAATTTTGACCCCAGGGCTCTTATTTGAACAAACTTGGTAGACATCCATTAGAACATGTTTCATGCTAAATATCTTAGCTCTAGCTCTTTGGGTTCTTTAAAAGAAGATTTTTTTAAGTTTTTACTATATGCATATATTATAGGGAAAATCAATGATCCCCTGGGGCGGGGCCAATTTTGACCCCAGGGCTTTTACTTGAACAAACTTTTTAGACACCCATTAGAAGATGTTTCATGCTAAATTTCTTAGCTTTAGCTCTTTGGGTTCTTTAAAAGAAGAATTTTTAAGTTTTTACTATATGCATATAGGGAAAATCAATGACCCCCTGGGGCGGGGCCAATTTTGACCCCAGGGCTTTTATTTGAACAAACTTGGTAGACACTCACTAGAAGATGTTTCATGCCAAATATCTAAGCTCTAGCTCTTTGGGTTTTTTAGAAGAAGATATTTTAAGTTTTTTCTTTTGGTTGCCATGGCAACCAGAGTTCTGCATGGAATAAAATTCTTTGAACAATTTTCAAAGGTGACCACCAAAGGAACATTCCTGTGAAGTTTGGATGAAATTGGCTTAGTGGTTTATGAGGAGATGTCATTTAAAGTAAAAGTTTACGGACGCCGGATGGACGATGGACAGACGCCGGATGAAAAGCGATCACAAAAGCTCACCCTGTCACTTTGTGACAGGTGAGCTAAAAAAATAAGGTGGAAACTGCAGACTCAGTTTGATGGATCCTGTTCACAGAAGATATTGAAGAAAAACACTTCTCTCACCGGTATTAACAATTAAATAGAATAAGTATTAAAGAAAATTTACATGAGGCTGAAGATTCTACTCAAGCACCTGCATGTGCCTGAAAAAATGAATGAAGCTGCATGCAAGACTACCTACCAGGAATGCTTGAAAGTTGCTACATAACTGTGCTGGTGTAACTTAAAACCCAAAACATATAAAATATGAAGAGAAAGGAAATTTGTATAAACACACCTGCAGGATCAAAGGCCACTCTATTGGCCGGATGAGGTCCACAATCTACACTGACCATCGGTGCACCTTGTCTAACATCCCACAGTTTCACTGTACCATACGAATCACATGATGCCACTGTATCTCCCTAATATATAATAAATTTAATAATGTAATCATTGTAGGCTGTGTTATAACGAAAACATAAGTATTCCACAGATCAAGCAAGAAATCAACAGGACAATTATAAATTGCTGCTATTATTACAATCCATTGTTATCAATTTTGCTTTAATTCTCAAATCTGTCCTCAAATTATTCCACTTACATTATCAGTCGGGCATACTTCCTGATCGGGAAACAAGGGGATTCCCCTTCAAGGCTTCCCGATCAGGCAACAAACGTCAAAATCCTTCCCGATCGGGAAGTTTTTTTGGCCTTTTTTACGTGGTTTAAGAAAAATGGCCGGTGCATAACAGTTTTCAATCCACTTCAATATGAATATCACACTTTTGTTCAGAAAAGATACATCTAAAATCCTACCGAGTCATTTTCTTTTAAAATGTCTACAATTAAAATAATCTGAAAGTGAACTTAAGTAAAGTTTTTACATTTTACCAAAAACTAGCCACTTCCAGTTTTGGGAACGTTGCTTCCTGATCAGGCATCTAGCAAAATATTTCATCATTAAAAGTTTAAGATACACTGCTTCCCAATCTGGAAGAACCTTATATTGTAGTAGTACCTGGCCTGATGATTAGAAATTGCTAAGCCTGGCCAGTTTTAAGACATGTGGCAATAATTCAATTACGTGAGTGGAATATATCTGGCGAAGTTTTATGTCCTTGTTAGGCGTAAATAATATCTATCAACACATAAGCTATACTTGACGGACAGTACAAAAAATCATCATTATATTACAAAAAGTTTCATATTGTTAAGATTGTATAGCACACGTTGAAACAACATTGCAAAGAGAGTAATTTTTTTCAAAAAAATTACCATGCAGCTCAAATAATTAAGTTTAAATTAAATGTTGACTAGAGCTCAATAAAATATTATTTTTTGGCTAATAGCTCAAGACGTGTTTGCATACTACATGTGTTTGTAGTGACTGGGTCAATTTTCTTGTTTTCTGAAACTTAAAGTGTATTAAAGCTATATATCTGATGATAAAATTATTGTTTGAATTTAAAAAAGTATACATGTACTTCCAAAATGATTGTAAGAAATAAATATGGTAATTTATTGCCTTAAACGCGAATGGCGCAAAAAACAAAATCATTGCTAAACTGATAAAACCCTACTTAAAATAGCAAAACAATATTGTGTTCTTGCACAGGATTCATGTGTATTAAAAAACAGAGACATTCTATGTTACATTACTTTTTTTCGGGAATCAACCATATAATAATGGAACCAGCATAATTTTGCTGTGGGATAAATTTTATTAAAAAATATTTCTGAAGATTTATAGAACACACCCTTTTAAGCCACTCTAATTTAAAAAAAATGAATAAAATATAAGATAAATAAATAAATAAAACAAGAAATATCATAATGACATATATGCCCCCTTTTCTATCTGAAAAATGAATGAAATCTATAATAAGTTAAACAAAAATGGAGAGTAGCTGGAATAAAATATACATTATCATATAAATGTAAATATGAGCATCTACTTCGAACATTCAAGGTTATGTGACCTTGTCCTCTGAGACCTAGTGACCTCAAAATCAATAGGGGCCATCTACTAGTTATGAACAATTAAAATGTGAAACATAAAACTTGATAACTTGAAAATAATGCGTAGAAACCATTCTGATACGTAACGCCTTGTACCTTTGACCTAAAGACTTCAAAATCGATAGGGTCATCTACTAATTATAAACCAATCATTAAGTGAAATAAAAAAGATTTAGTAATTAATAGTTTTCAAACTAATGAACGGAAACCATTCTGACATTTAAGGACACTGTAACCTTTAAAATGGTGACCCCAAAATCAGTAAGGTCATCTACCACATATGACTAATCAACACATGAAATAGGAAAACTTTGTGATAAATACTTTTCAAGATATAGTGCGGAAACCATTTTGACATTTAAAGCAACGTGACCTTTGACCTAGTGACTCCCAATATCAAAAAGGGTCATCTTCTAGTTATGACCAATCAATATGTGAAATATGAAAACTTCTAATAAAAAAAAAAATAATGTTTTAAATGTTTGTTTGTTTGGGTTTTACGTCACATCGACACAGTATAGGTCATATCGCGACGTTCCAGCTTTACTGGTGGAGGAAGACCTTCAGGTGCCCTTCCGTGCATTATTTCAGGCACAAACGGGCACCTGAGTAGAAACCACCGACGTTCCGTAAGCTAGCTGGATAGCTTCCTCACATGAAAAAATCAAAAGTCCCTTCGGGATTCGAACCCACAGCGGTGAGGGGCAAGTGAAAAAAATAATGAGCAGAAACCATTCCGAAATTTAAAACACCTGTAACTGTGACCTTTAAGCTAGTTACCCCAAAATCAATATAGGTTATCTAATAGTTATGACCAATCAATACATGAAATATGAAGATTTTTTGATAAATAGTTTTTAAAATAATCAGCAGAAACAATGTGGTCTAACGACGGATTAACAAACATACTTAAGGTCAAATGTGACCTTGACCATTGACCTAAAAGACCCCAAATCGATGGGTCATCTACTAGTAACGACAATAATCAATATGTGAAATATAAATGACTTAGTGATAGTTTTTCAAGATAATGAGCTTAAACCATTCTGACATTTAAGCTCCCTGTGACCTTGACTTTTGACATAGTGACCACAAAATCATAGGAGTCATCTACTACATATGACTAATTAATTTGGAAAATATGAAACTTTGTGAGAGATAATGAGCGGAAACCATTCTGACATTTAGGGTCCCTGTGACCTTGACCTTTGACATAGTGACCCTGAAATCAATAGATGTCATCTACTATAGTTATGGCCAATTAGTATGTAAAATATGAAGACTCTGTGTTAAATAGTTTTGAAGATAACAACTGAGGTCTAATGATGGACTGACGGACCAACATTAACGTAACATAACATAGCATATATTTTATTCAACATAAAATAGTATACAATTTTATAGTCATACAGATATTGTGTGGACATTAGCAAGTCAATATACCCTCTCTTCTTTCGAAGTAGGGCATAATAAAAAATAACTAGGACCGGGTATGAATAAGAAAGTTGATGTTCGAATAATTCGTTTTTCCATATTCGAATATATTCAATCTTCGTTTTTACAAAATTTGAGGAAGAACACCACCTATGATGCTATCATTTGTATCTGAACTGCTAGACACACCAGACTTCAAAACATTCACGACATGACTCACATGTTGATTTGTTGCACATACAACTTTATTGTTGGTGTTGTCCCAAGCAATCTCAATCAGCACGAAAGAATTCCAGAATAGAACGCGCTAACTTAAAGAATAAAACTTTCCAAACGGTAACATTTTAATGGTGAATATTATGCTAGAATGCCTGATAAGGAAGCAATGTTTCCAAAATGAGAAGCAGCTACTACTTAGTAAAATCTTAAAACTTTCACTTTCACTTCAGATTATTTTAATTGTAGACATTTTTAAAGAAAATGACTCGGTAGGATTTTAGATGTATCTTTTCTGCACTTAAATGTGATATTCATATTAAAGTGGGTTGAACACTATTCTGCACCGGCCATTTTTCCTGAACTACGTAAAAAAAGGCCAATTAACTTCCCGATCGGGAAGGATTTTGACGTTTGTTGCCTGATCGGGAAGCCTTGAAGGGGAATCCCCTTGTTTCCCGATCAGGAAGTATGCCCAACTGATTATGGTAGGTTTGGAATTGCTTTTATTAAATTAAAGAAAAATCATAATAAACAAAGCATAAAGCAAATACTGTTAATGCTTATTTATTAACAAGCAATTAAAATGAGCTTTCACAAGACTTTCGTGTATTGAAAAGTTGGATGTTAGTTATCACAAGAAAAAAATATACAGTTGACAAATTTACTAAAATACATGCAGAGACACTGGACAGAAAGCAACCACTAGCTTACTAGAAATTAAAAAAAAATCCATAAATTTGTATAAAATGCCCATCAGGTAAATTCTGGTAATGACATAAAGCTATATATTTTTATCATTTGACATCAGAGGATGATCTTATACAAATTTGATAATACTATATCATGATTTTCATATATTCATATAACATTTTCAACATGGCACATACAAAGTTCTATACTTGATTGATTACAATTGGTTGAATTTTTGGACAATTCTTAAAGAATAATCACTTAAAACAATATGCTGCATGTTGAGATAACATCCAAAGTGCTACCATATAAGTAAATATTTTGTGGACATAGCATTTTTTTATCTTGCCAAAAAAAAAAAAAAATAAATAAAACAAGAGGGCCATGATGGCCCTGAAGTCGCTCACCTGTATATAGGCCCCCGGAGCGGGGCCCAGTTTAAATCCCAGGGCTTTTATTTGAACAAACTTGGTAGACACCCATTAGAATATGTTTCATGCTAAACATCTAAGGTCTAGCTGGTCAAGTTTTTTCTTTACACATATAGTTAAAAACAATGACACACCTGGGGCAGGGCCAGTTTTGACCCAAGGGCTTTTATTAGAACAATCTTTGTAGACACTTACTAGAAAATGTTTCATGCTAAATATCTAAACTCTAGCTATTTGTTTTTTTTCAAAGAAGATTTTTAAGTTTTTGCTATACACATATATGGAAAATCAATGACCCCCTGGGGCGGGGCCAATTTTGACCCCAGGGCTTTCATTTGAACAAACTTTGTAGACACTCACTAGAAGATGCTTCATGCTTAATATCTAAACTCTAGCTATTTGAGTTTTTTCAAAGAAGATTTTAAGTTTTTTGCTATATACACATATAAGGAAAATAAATGACCCCGAGGCGGGGCCAATTTTGACCCCAGGGCTTTTTATAAAAACAAACTTGGTAGACACTCACTAGAAGATGTTTCATGCTTAGTATCTAAACTCTAGCTATTTGGTTTTTTTTTTCAAAGAAGATTTTTAAAGTTTTTGCTATACACATATAAGGAAAAATCAATGACCCCCTGGGGCGGGGCCAATTTTGACCCAAGGGCTCTCATTTGAACAAACTTGGTAGACATCCATTAGAGGATGTTTCATGCTAAATATCTTAGCTCTAGCTCTTAGGGTTCTTTAAAAGAAGATTTTTTTAAGTTTTTACTATATGCATATAGGGAAAATCAATGACCCCCTGGGGCGGGGCCAATTTTGACCCCAGGGCTTTTATTTGAACAAACTTGGTAGACACCCATTAGAGGATGTTTCATGCTAAATATCTTAGCTCTAGCTCTTTGGGTTCTTTAAAAGAAGATTTTTTAAGTTTTTACTATATGCATATAGGGAAAATCAATGACCCCCTGGGGTGGGGCCAATTTTGACCCAAGGGCTTTTATTTGAACAAATTTGGGAGACACTCACTAGAAGATGTTTCATGTCGAATATCTAAGCTCTAGCTCTTTGGGTTTTTTAGAAGAAGATATTTAAAGTTTTTTCTTTTGGTTGCCATTGCAACCAGAGTTCTGCATGGAATTAAATTCTTTGAACAATTTTCAAAGGTGACCACCAAAGGAACATTCCTGTGAAGTTTGGATGAAATTGGCTTGGTGGTTTATGAGAAGATGTCATTTAAAGTAAAAGTTTACGGACGACGAACGCCGGACGAAAAGCGATCACAAAAGCTCACACGTCACTTTGTGACAGGTGAGCGTAAAATATCCATGAAAATATCAAGTGAATAAAAGCAATATAAGCTCTGTGATAATTTCTATGTTGTGACTTGTGGATACTTGCATTCTGAGATCCACCCTGTAAATTGCAAAATTAACTTATTTTGATTGTTTAACTTTTATTCACAGTTTCAAACTGAAATTATCAAATCATGTGAAACGTATAAACCTTATAATAGCTTTTATATATATAATTTTACTTTCAGAACATTAGATTAAATGAATATAACCACAAACCTTCAAGTTGAATGTAGCAAAATTAACAGAATGCAGATGACCATAGAATGATTGTGCACACAGTCCCTGAAATGAAGACAATCATGCTTATGTACTTCATGTTAATATGCAGATAAATTTTTAAACAAATGATTTATAAGTGTACTGGTGAACCCAGCAAAATATAAAATCACAAATGTCTTAAAAACCTAATATAATTTCTTTTAATGACAAATATTCTTTTTTACTCTATTCAACCAATCTATATTTTGAAATATTCTTGATTTACTTTTGCCAATTATGAAAAATGGATAATTTCATTTAAGACATTAACATGGTTCAGGGTTAAACATTAGGTAACTTACTGTTCTAGCATCCCAGAGTGACAATGTTTTATCAGCAGAACAAGTGAGGAGAGTGTTAGAGAAAGGTAGAAACTCTATACTGTTCACAGAGTCTGTGTGACCCCGCAGTGTGTAACGACATCTCACACTATTCAAGTCCCAAATCTTAGCTGAATTATCCATAGAACAACTAGCTAGGAAGTCACCACAGGAGTGCCAGTTGACACACCATACTGGAAAATTAAATTATAATGTAAAAACATTAACTTAGTGGATAATAATTTCAAATTATTCTAAAAAAACAAGGGAGCAATGGCTTAGAAATGTCCATATATATGATTTTATTTTTATTGCTTCCACAGGATAACCCCTTCATTATATTTTTAATGGTTAAGATGTCTGCCTCTCAACCAAGGGAGCACAGGTTTTAGCCCTACTTGGTCATGAACCATTATTTTGTCATATAATACTAGTTAGTTTCCGAAAGCAAACTTGAGATTGGTCAGAAATTAACCAACCTTCTTCTTGATCTGGCTTAAATAAAATATGTAACGTTTGCAATAACTTTGGCATACATGTTTCTAAAGGGTTCTATTCTGTTGGCTGACAAACCTTAAATATTCAAATTGATATCCCTAAAATTGACTATGGACAGTCCCAAAAATGGACGTGGGACAAGTCCATTTAAAATATTCAGCATGTTACGGGTTAACATTAAAATAACAAACCAGCATGAGTATGATCGGTGAAAGTGTGTACACATTCTGCCTTTGAAAAGTCCCATATCTTCACTGTCGTATCTCCACTTGATGTTGCCAATTTAGTACCACTGAAATATACATCCATAATATATACTGAACAATGCTCAATGCATTAATATCGCAGTCTAATACTGCAGTTGTATTTTTCAACATCCAAGCAAAATATCACAACTTATCTGACATTACAAAAAATGTTTCCAAACATCAAAATAATAATTAAAATTTATATCTATTGTATTAAACTATGTAATACGAGTTACATGATACTGATATGTTTTCATTTCTCATTAAAAATCATAAAATAAATCAAAATTGAAAAGTTTTGACTGTACAATCTATTCTATAATCAGAAATGTATTATTTTAAATTCTCAATATGCACTTTGGTATATGACAACCTTTACAACAATATGACACCCCCCTCCCCATAAAATAAATTTAAATCACATACGATGGATGGAAGTCACATTCTGAGACCCAGTCAGTATGTCCCTCTCCTGTCATAATGATATCACCACCTGGTACAGCCCACATCTTCCAAGTATTGTCATCACTACTGGTCGCCAATATCTGCTTACGTGGATGTAACGCTAATCTACAAATGTATGGAATTTGTATACATACTAACTTTTCTCTGTAAAATCTTTAAATCAAAATTTAAAGCAATGTTTTATATTGCGATAAAAGTGTTTTAATTTATTTAAATGAATGATAGTTACAAATGTATATAACCGAAAACAAGGTATAGTTATAATATTCTTTATCACTTCTCATCAAAACATTTACTTACATTAAAATTTGTTAAAAAAAACAACCTGCTCAGGTACATTGACTTTTTAAACGTTAGGCAGAAAATGTTTTGTAAAACAAACTATGATACATACCCACTGATAGGATGCGAGTGAGCTTGGAATGTATTTGACAATCTAAATCCACCAGATCTTGCTAGATGGCCAGACGGGGCCTTTGCCATACCAATATATGGATTAATTCCCTTGTCAGCAGGGAACACAGAATCCTGACAAACATTAATTACAGCAACTATGACACATGACACAAAAATAACAATATCAAAATATCTTCCTTTAAGAATAGAACTTTTATTAATCATATTTTTTAAAAGACAATAACAATCAAAAACATATTTTTATTATACATACTTTTGAGATGAAAGTTCAAAGTTCAAAGGAGACAACTAGAGCATTATGTAAGAGGTAAGATTTAATTTGTAGTAAACACAGACACATTATATTATATAATTTGCTTTGATATTTTTCTGATAATTGAAATATATTTCAGTCTGCAGAAAATCACTGTACTTACATTTGGATGCCTTTTAAAGTCTTTAGGTATGTCTTGTATATCCATGTCACGCTCAACTTGAAGAACTCGCTGGGTGGGACCTATACCATCCGCGTCCAACGGTACTCCACCTCTCTGACAGATCCGTGTAGTTGACGCTGTCATACTCTGCTCACCTGTAGTATAGAACTAATTTCTCTAAAACTGTTCAGAAGTTATCAATAATAGAGCCGCACCATGACAAAACCAACATAATGCGTTTGCGGCATGCATGGATCTAGACCAGTCTGCAATCTGCACAGTCTGATCAGGATCCATGCTGTTCGCTTACAAACCCTATTACAAGTAGAGAAACTGACAGCGAACAGCATGGATTCTGATCCGACTGCACAGCTGGTCTGGATCCATGCTGGTCGCAAATGTACTATGCTGGTTTTGTCATGACGCGGCTCATATAATAGTTGTAATATGAATTTCAATGAATTTCTTAACCCTTAACCTGTTGTAACAGAAAATGATTAGCCTTTTGCCACCAGAATACTATAAAACCAGGTCAGCCTGCGCTTCCATTCAATCTAACCAGATTGTTCTTATGGCTCATTAAAGTTGAATTTCTAGATACACCCACAATTGATAATAGAGAGTTTCAAAATTGGAAGCTAGACAATTCCTCTAAAAAATCTAACAAATAATGGGTTAAAACTCAATACTAAGATATAAATTTGTCTTTAGACAGGAAATTACAAACTAAAAGAAAGCTCTATATATCTGTATAACATGTGATTTGATATAAGTATGTTATAACAATTAATGGCTTGTAAATAAGATGTTATGTTAAGTATGATCTCAGGGTTTTCATTATAAACAGATTGGCTATCCAATCCAATCATCAGATGAAATGCAGTTAAAAGCAGTTGTATTTTCAGCCTGTAGATTAAAATATCCCTCTAGACTCATGGGAAAATCAGTTGTTTTTGTTGGCTCATCCGTTACCTCAGATAAAAATGAAAGCCATAGGTCTTTAGTTATAAGTTGTACAATTTTACACTGTTTATATAAAATGTTCATCTACTTTCCTTAATAATACACAAATTATGATAACCCCTATCTCACACTAAACTGACTTACCCATTTTAACAGACCCTCCTTTAAAAGATTCCATACTCTTCAATGTACTCTGTAGCCCTGTCACCTGACCCATTGCTCGATCTCTCTCCAGCTTAGATAACATCTTCTCCTTCATTGCCACCTCATATTTCTTCTTAAGTTGTTGTAGTGTAGGCTCATATTGGGTATAGTGACGCTTCAATCTGGCAAGTTCATTAAAATTGTATATATCATGCATGATATAATACATATACATAATTAATCATTTTATAATTTATACAGAAAAAAGATGTTTTCAAATAATGGTAACACCTCGACAGTTTTACATAATTTCAACATAATAATAAAAGTGCTTCTAAATAATTATTGTAAGAATTTATAACAGGCAAGTTTGGGATAACTTTATGGACAATTCATTATAATCACTTCAACAGGAAAATTTATTAAATATAAAAATATGTATACATTTTTTTTTACCAAATTCCAAACACATAATGCTCCAAAAATGATTACTACACTCATGTACATTGTCCTTTATAGCTGTTGTAAATTTATGAAATAACAATAAAGTGGGCTCACTAAGCTGTAGTAAAATGTTAATGATTTTTTAAATTGTTAATTTAGTATTTTTACCTTTTAATATCCGTTATAAGTTTGTTCTTTTCTTGTACAACCCTTTTATGATGCATACGGTGATAATCTCTCTCTTTCCTTAGCTTCACATAAAGATCTTTGGCTTTCCTACAATAATCAAATTAAGTTATATGTAACTGGAGTTGTGAAATTCTTGTGAACATTTATCATTTACAAATATCTACAATGTTGATGGGAATAATCTTTACAAAATGTGTTTTCTTTTTTATTGCTCTGTAAATGCAACCACTGTAAAATAAAATTTAATATTTATGTTTTTTACAGACAATTAATCAGACAATAAGAAAATACATTAGTTACTTAGCTTGCATTGTCATTCTAATATACACGTAACTTTACACAGTCTGAGTTTTGATGGGCAATTAAATCATCACAAAGGCCATCATGAGTACAAGTGATGTATTACATAGCATCTGAACAATAAACTGTACAAAATTAACATAAATTAGTATAATATATTACAACTCTAGAAAGTAAATTTATGGAAGATATTATACAAGATTCGGCACAGAAATAATCATTTGATTTCTTTGATGTCATGCTATGTGTCAAAATTCCTATCCTAACACTATGCATCAATTGTTTATGTAGGGTAATAGAAGCAAGTTTTTAAGTACTCTTTTAGGAACTTTAGGTATATACATGTTTTTCAAATCACATACTGAAATCAAAATTGCTTTTTCATCTATACAGTATTACTTTAAGCAGTAATAAATATCTTACAGTGCAGCATCCTTGTATTTCTCCACTTCACCCTTTAGGAACTTTATTTCACTGTCCAAGTTCTGGTTACGTGTATATATGTCAGGTACAACTCCTATATCTTCCTCATTGAGAAATCCTCTCTGCTGTAACTCATACCTGGTATTACAACAAACTTGTAATTTTTAACTGAATAGTGATACTTTATTTGTATAATTTGATTACATGAAATAAAATTTGCAATATTCTGAAATGTTTTAAATACTAAAATTTTGGCAATTATTTTACCCTTCGTCTGGCCTAAATAGGCATCAGCACATTACGCCTTATACTAGATAAGAGTATTCAACTTTCCAGATAAGAGTATTCAAATTTCCAGTTGTGAAAAACTCCTTGTATGTTTTCTTAAGTCTCTTATCTTTCGATATGATTTAATTATGATTTATTGTTCTGCACAGATTGCCAAATGTCTGAAACTTAATTAAATAACTGACAAATGAGTTTAATGTTTGGATTTAATATGTAACATATTGTACTAAATGCTTTACCATTCTGTTTGAAAGCAGTCAAGGGTCCTTTCCATTCCCATTCTGACAAGGAAATTCCTGACAAAATCATCAACAACCTCTGGATGTTTAGTGACTTGTGCTTTATGTGTGGTCTCTTTCCTAGACTATTAAAATATATTCCGATTTAAACAAAATATAATATAAAACTTAAAGGGACTCAACTGAGATTGTTTTTAAATGCTATTTTTTAGGGGATGGAAATTTTTGTTGTTGAGATTTTTATATCATTTGATGAAGGTCTATACCATAAGCTTGTATGCAACTTTCAGATCATTACCTCAGTCTATTTTCCAAGAATAATCAGTATCATTGTGCAAAATGACTTATAAAAAATATTTAAATGCTTTTAACACAAATTGTGTTAAGGGCTGCAGTAAATATTGATTTTCAATATGATTTTTAGTATATTTCGTAATACAATGTAATAATCCTAAATGCATATTTTCTCCAATTTAAGTGCCGCAGTTGATCTATGTAATGTTTAAAAAAATTTAAGATTTCAGGCTTTTTGGACCTCAGTGGTCAAGCTCCTTCAATAAAACATTGTTTCAACTAAAATTGAACATAATTATATAGAGGATATTTGTTGAGCTGTGTGCAAGATATGAATATATTTCACCGAGTGAGCACCAAAAGGTATATTTCACAAGTGGCCCAGTCACAAGTGAAATATGAACTTTTGGTGTTCACGAGGTGAAAAATATTTCCATCTTACACTAAACTAAACAAATTTTCGTTTTATTATATGCAAAGAAACTTAAAAGCATGTAATAAGTCATTCTATACAGTAAACTTTAAAAAGTAATTCTTATAATCTACAGAATGAAGGTATAGACTTTTTTTAATAAAACAATGACAGCTCAAATTGAAACATCGAACAGTAACAGTAAAGATATTAAATAAACTAATATACAATAAATCTTACAGTAGCTTGTTCATCTTCCTTGTATTCTCTAATTGTCTTTACAGCTAGGTCAAGATCTTCCTCTAAATCTACAAAATTAGTAAAAATATCCAATTATTATTTAACTACCTTGTCTTTACCAATATTGTATGTTGTTATTCTACTGTTTTTCTGCTTTAGCAGATAAATTAACAATTATTTGAGCCGAGTCACGACAAAACCAACATAATGCGTTTGCGACCAGCATATATCCAGACCAGCCTGCGCATCTGCGCAGTCTGTTCAGGATCCATGCTGTTTGCTTACCAACTCTATTACAAGTAGTGAAACTGATAGCCAACAGCATGGATCCTGATCAGACTGCGCGGATGCACAGGCTGGTCTGGATCCATGCTGGTCGCAAACGCACTATGTTGGTTTTGTTGTGACACGGCTCATATACCTCCTAAATGGAAACAAATAGATAAATACATAACCCCATAAAATGAAGAACATTAAATAATCTATTGTTACAAAGCCTTTTAATTTACAAACCATGCAATAGTTTTTCAAGAAAATCATACGCAAAAGTTCAGGGATCTTTACTTTGAAGAGAAAAATACCTTTCTTTTACCATCTTGCTAAGGAAAAGAATATAATTATTTATATATGTACTTCTACATATACATTATTTATATTGAGAGTAATGTGATGAATAAATGTGCAAATATTTTAATGAAAATAACTTGGCCAGCATTATTGCCAAATGTGGTAAGTCCATTGATTTTTCTAAAAACAGTGATTTTATTCCAATTCCATCATCTATATTGAATTAAAACAATTTAGACTATAACCTTTAAGGTAAAATTTCAAGTAGGGATACAATTTACAGTGTAATAGATTAAAATAAGCTAATGTCAAGCCAATAAACATAAGTTTGGATCGCTTAAAACTCAAAATAATGATAATAAAAATAATAATAACAATAATAAAAATAATAATTTGCTTAAACAATGTGAAAAAACACACACAAGAAAAGTGCCTCTAAACCAGAATACATATCAAATCTTTGAAAACACCTTGTGCATTGACTGATAGGATATTCCATCAAAATTGAAGCTATATATCTACATCATGCTATACTTTGTGCAAAACCAAATATTTTCTTCTCACACAAAAAAAATGCTATACAATTGTGTGCAAAATTTAACTTCACAAAATAATCATTTTAGACTTAAGTTGTATCTTTCACTAAATATCGCATTTTTCTGTTATAACATTACAACTGAAATAACTGAAAGCAATTTTGTGACCATGGAAACCTCAACCTTTAATTTAACAGCAAAGTTGGCTATGAATATTGGAGTAAACTTTCTTGAATTATGCAAATGTTATAAAATTAAACAAGAAGACCATGATGGTCCTAATATAGTATAGCCCACTGGACTGTAAGGGCTCAAAAAATGAATGAAAAGCATGTATTTGGTCAAAATCTAGGTCAACTGGAATCAAAATTTAAATCTGCATCTGAAATAGTGCACATGTAAAGTCACTAGTCACTATGGAAATCAATTGTTGGTATGGAAGTCACTAGTGGTTAAGGAAAGCCAACAGTTGCTATAGAAGTCAATGGTTGCTACAAAAAGTCATTGATTGCTATGGGACTCACAGGTTGCTATGTAAGTCAATGGTTGCTATGTAAATAAATAGTTGTTATGTTAGTCAATGGTTGCTATTTTAGCCAATGGTTACTATGTAAGTCAATGGTTACTATGTAAGTCAATGGTTACTATGTAAGCCAATGGTTACTATGTAAGCCAATGGTTACTATATAAGGGTCAATGGTTACTATGTAAGTCAATGGTTGCTATATGTAAGTCAATGGTTACTATATGTAAGTCAATGGTAACTATATGAAAGTCAATGGTTACTATGTAAGTCAATGGTTGCTATGTAAATCAATGGTTGTTATGTAAATCAATGGTTACTATTTAATCAATGGTTGCTGTGTAAATCAATGGTTACTATGTGCCAGTCAATGGTTAATTTGTAAGTCAATGGTTGCTATGTAAGTCAATGGTTGTTATGTATGTCAATGGTTACTACATGTAAGTCAATGGTTGCTATGTAAGTCAATGGTTACTATGTAAGTCAATGGTTACTATGTAAGTCAATGGTTGCTGTGTAAGTCAATGGTTACTATGTTAGTCAATGGTTACTATGTAAGTCAATGATTACTATGTAAGCCAATGGTTACTTTGTAAGTCAATGGTTACAATGTGTTAGTCAATGGTTACTTTTTTATGGTTGCTATGTAAGTCAATGGTTGCTATGTAAGTCAATGGTTACTTTGTAAGTCAATGGTTACTATGTAAGTCAATTGTTACTATGTTAGTCAATGGTTACTGTGTAAGCCAATGGTTACTTTGTAAGTCAATGGTTAATATGTAAGTCAGTGGTTACTGTGTAAGTTAATGGTTGCTATGTAAGTCAATGGTTGTTATGTAAGTCAATGGTTACTATGTCAGTCAATGGTTGCTATGTAAGTCAATGGTTGCTATGTAAGTCAATGGTTACTATGTAAGTCAATGGTTACTATATGTAAGTCAATGGTTGCTATGTAAGTTAATGGTAACTATGTAAGACAATGGTTACTTTGTAAGTCAATGGTTACTATGTTAAGTCAATGGTTGTATTGTAAGTCAATGGTTGCTGTGTAAGTCAATGGTTACTATATGTAAGTCAATGGTTATATGTAAGTCAATGGTTGTTTTGTAAGTCAATGGTTGCTCTGTAATTACGTCAATGGTTGCTCTGTAAGTCAATGGTTACTATATGTAAGTCAATGGTTGCTTTGTAAGTCAATGGTTACTATGTGTAAGTCAACGGTTGCTATGTAAGTCAATGGTTACTATGTAAGTCAATGGTTACTATATAAGTCAATGGTTACTATGTAAGTCAATGGTTTCTATGTAAGTCAATGGTTGCTATGTAAGTCGATGGTTGTTATGTAAGTCAATGGTTACTATATGTAAGTCAATGGCTACTATGTAAGTCAATGGTTACTGTATGTAAGTCAATGGCTTCTATGTAAGTCAATGGTTACTAAATGTAAGTCAATGGTTGCTATGTAAGTCAATGGTTACTATGTAAGTCAATGGTTGCTTTGTAAGTCAATGGTTACTATATGTAAGTCAATGGTTACTATATGTAAGTCAATGGTTACTGTGTAAGTCAATGGTTACTACAAGTAAGTCAATGGTTGCTATATGTAAGTCAATGGTTACTATGTAAGTCAATGGTTGCTATGTAAGTCAACGGTTACTATGTAAGTAAATGGTTGCTGTGTATGTCAATGGTTGCTGTGGAAGTCACTTGTTTCTATAGGAGTCACTCAGGCTACTTAAAAAGTCAAAAGTTGCTAGGGAAAGTCAAAAGTTGCTATGGAAGTCACTATTTCCTATGGAAAGTCAACTGTTGCATGGCTTATACAGCACTTGCCAAAAACAAGGACTTTCCTCAGTTTTGAAAGACTTTTTAGCCAAGGTTTAATAGACCCAGTGATGTACAGCAAAAGATGGCAATTCTTTATCTTATAAGAAGTATTGAAAATCATTTATACCTATAAAACACAAATAAGTCTAAAATATTTTGTGAATTTTGCCATGCACAGAAATGTAGAAGCAAAATATACATACTTAACAAAGGCAGGTCTACAATACATAATCAATATCATAAATTCAAATTTACAGCTAAAAAATAAATAAAATGTACATTTGGTGAAATGAAAGCTTGTGACGGCTACACAAATACTATCACGCTACAAAATAATTTTTAAATTGAAAATCCTTGTTCATACTTACAATTTGGATCATCTGTTTGTTAGTTAAAAGATGAATGACATTGAAGTTTTACACTTATAATGTCTGCTCAGTGAATTTCAACATATTTATATTAATTCTCTTTAAACAAATATATATTAGAATGGAAATATTAATCAAATTTCACTGCATTGTTGTAAAATTATGCATGGTTTATTTTTCAAATATTTTGAATGTCCTACTGTGACAGTTAACTGTCATCATTAGTAATCATATTACTCATAATTACTGCTCATCTGAACTTGAACTGTGCATTATTTACAACTACTTTCTAAATATAATTATAACACTCTGGAATTCACTGACTCAGACTTTAATTAAGACACTTATCATTTTGACACATTTGTCACATAACTTTGATAACTAATCTTATTCTCCTAAAAACAATATTTTCTTTTAAAAGTATATTCATGTATATTAGTTCAATTATTTTCCAAGTATGTTGTTTTAATAATTGTGTGTTTCCTTTTTTTGTTATAACAATGAGAGAACTTTCAGACTATGTATATTAGTTAAGTAATACCTGGTGTGACAAAATCTTCATCAATGGGTACTTCTTCATATTGAAACTCATCATCTGACTCCACTGTAATTTGCTCACCTGAGAATCAATGTTAAGGAAATATACAAGACACCTTTCACTACTAAATTATTGCATTTTAATAGAAAATATGCCCATAAAACAAAGGCACCTATAAAAAAACATATGCACTGAGATTATCCTGTGAGATGTGAAGTGAAACAGTTTAAATTTAAATACTTTTCTTAAAATGATAAATTCTTATGTTTTGGATTCAATATGCATCACTCAGTGATGTTTTTCCTTGAGTATTACACTTGATTTATACAGGGAAATCAAAGGCTTAGGCTTTCGCTTGCCCCAGGCTATGTACTTCATGTGTATACTTAAAAGGAAATCAAATAAAAAACAATTAAAAATTTATATAGATTTCTATACCTATCAGTGAAATTTTCAGTGTCATGTCTAGTTAGGAGGAGTATTCCAACAACGGAACAATTAGAAATGTTTGGCTTAATAATTAAAGGGCCGTGTTCCATTAAGTGAAAACGGAAGTGGTGCATTAAATACCAAACGCCACCTATAAAATGGGAAATGTAAAGTAAACAAGAGGGCCATGATGGCCCTAGATCGCTCACCTGAATTATCAAACTCATCCAAACAATTACCTAGACAAGCATTCTGACCAAGTCTCATGACAGGTGAGTCAAAAATGTGACCACTACAGTGTTAACAAGGATTATCCATATTTGAGCAGTGCGACCTAGTTTTTTTACCCAGGTGACACATATTCAAACTTGACCTAGAAATCATCAAAACAAACTTTCAGACCAATTTCCAGGATACTTGGATCAAAACAGTAGCAACTAGAGTGTTAACAAGATTTTTCTATTTTTAGCTCCGGTGACCTAGTTTCACATGCGATTTCGAACTCATCCAAGCAATTACCTAGACAAGCATTCTGACCAAGTTTGATGATAATGGAGTCGAAAATGTGACCACTAGAATGTTAACAAGGTTTTTCCATATTTGGGCGGTGTGACCTAGTTTTTCATCCAAGATGACCCATGTTCGATCTTGACTTAGAAATCATCAAAACAAACTTTCAGACCAATTAACAGAATATTTGGATCACAACAGTAGCCACTAGAGTGTTAACAAGATTTTTCTATTTTTTAGCTCCTGTGACCTAGTTTTTCATCCGAGATGTCCCATGTTCGATTTCTTCCCAGCAATGACCTAGACAAGTTTCCTGACCAAGTTTGATGACAATTGAGTCAAAATTGTGACCACTAGAGTGTTAACAAGGTTTTTCTATTTTTAGCTCCTGTGACCTAGTTTTTCATCCGAGATGACCCATGTTCGAACTCATCCGAGTTATTACCTAGACAAGCATCTTGATCAAGTTTGATGATGATTGATGCAAAAATGTGACCGCTAAAGTGTTAACAAGGTTTTTCTATTTTTAGCTCCGGTGACCTACTTTTTCATCCGAGATGACCCATGTTCGAACTCATCCAAGCTATCAACTAGATAAGCATCCTGACCAAGTTTGATGATGATTGATGCAAAAATGTGACCGCTAGAGTGTTAACAAGGTTTTTCTATTTATAGCTCCGGTGACCTAGTTTTTCATCCGAGATGACCCATATTCGAACTCATCCGAGCTATTATCTAAACAAGCATCCTGACAAAGTTTGATGATGATTGGGTCAAAAATGTGACCACTAGAGTGGTCACAAGGTTTTTCTATTTTAGCTCCTGTGACCTAGTTTTTCATCAGAGATGACCCATGTTCGAACTCATCCAAAGCAATTGACTAGACAAGCATTCTGACCAAGTTTGATGATGATTGGTTCAAAAATGTGACCACTAGAGTGTTCACAAGGTTTTTCTATTTATAGCTCCTGTGACCTACTTTTTCATCCGAGATGACCCATATTCGAACTCATCCGAGCTATCACCTAGACAAACATCCTGACCAAGTTTGATGAAGATTGGGTCAAAAATGTGACCTCTAGAGTGTTCACAAGGTTTTTCTATTTTTAGCTCTTGTGACCTAGTTTTTCATCTGAGATGACCCATGTTCGAACTCATCCGAGCTTTCAACTAGATAAGCATCCTGACCAAGTTTGATGATGATTGAGGCAAAAATGCGACCGCTAGAGTGTTCACAAGCAATTGTGGACGGCCGGACGGACGACGGACATTCATCGATCCTAAAAGCTCACCCTGAGCAAGCTCAGGTGAGCTAAAAATGAATGACTTCCCCATTCATAGGCTTTGCCTAATTTCATATTATATATCATAACTACAATTACTATTACTAATATGAGAGAAACACACAACAAGGTTTATATTTCATGAAAACAAATAAACGAACACTTCAACTATGGAAATACAAGACAAGAAACTGTTGGGGTTATCAAGAGTCACTGGTACTACAAATTGTATCTGATATAATAATAACCCCAACAACATAACCTGGATAGGGCTCCATTCAATGAGAATCTCAAACTGCTGATTTTAAGAGTGACATACCAGTGAATGGTTGTAAACATCATTTGGAGACAAATAAATAATTTTCTTTTGTTATAAATTATTAAGAAATATTCTGGTAGTACTATCTACCAGAATATTTTACCCATCAAAAAATAATATTGAAAAAATTATTGTCTAGAAAGATGTAGTGTGCGCAGTTTTCGCGATGCAAAACTCCCCAAAAAACCAACAGATGCTGATAGGTTCTGTAGCTTTGTACATGTTATTGAATAGTGTTCATGGTAAAAATTTTAATCAAAGACATAAATGATACTTAATTTCAATGTTTTTCTGTAGAATAAGTGTCAATGTACTCTGGTTACCAGATTGTTTTAATTGGTTCTACAGTATCTATCTTCCATTAATGTCAAACCCCTTGTGGGGACATAGAAATATCTGCGTGTCAAAATCTCTAGAAAGTTAAAGAGCTGTTTGAAAACAGGATAAATTAAAAGAAGAATATTAAAAACGTTAAAAACACTAGGGTGCTGGAAAACTAGGGCGAGACATGTTAAATGCAAGCTATGGCTGCACAGAACTGCCCTTGGGTAGGGAGTAGGGCAACTGCAGGTGGTAGGTGTAGCCTGTTCAAAATTATCTTGATGTCTCTTTGACAAGTCTAATTAGTTGGACTATGGGTAGGTGGTTCCAGTGGTATACCGTCATAGGAAAGGAGAATATATGACAGTCTGAAGTTACTGTGAATAACCTATAATACAAGGGATGGCCATGGCGTGATGTTCTGGAGAGGTGTGAGCAACTAGACGATGGCGAATCTTATAGAAAAGAGATTAGAAAAGTTGAATAATGATATGGGAAAATGTATAAATTGAATAAATGTTATTGCATTTAAGAGTTCAATATAATTTTAATAACAATTTAACAACAAGTAAGTTTTGTATTTTGCTAACAAAAAGTAGTGTTCAGTAAATTCAGTGACCCGGTTCTCAGTTTTACATTATCTGATCATGGAATATGAAACAAAGGGTTTTGTTTGCTTTTTGGTTGACCTGTTCACGCGATAAGAGATAATTTGATTTATTCACGATAACATGTTTGCCGATGTAGTATTTGCTAATTTTTTATGCGTACAGATTCAGTATAACAATACAGGGAAAGGATTTTGAAAAAAAACAATACGTCGCGAAAATATGTGACATTGTAAAAGAATTGAACAAAAAATAATTTCGAGAAAGATTGTTCGCATTTTTTCAAGTAAGTCCACACTTTCAAAATCAAATATAAAAATAAAAATAATCGCATAGGTTATAATGTATAAAAGGATACGTTCAAGGTAAAACTTTTCATTCTCCGGATCAGCAGCCATTTTGCTTCTCGAGATCGCCAAGGTAACAAAACACAAGGGAGGTAATCAAATTTAAACCAATTAGGTTATAAGCCACTATTTATCAACAAAATAAATACTACTAAATACTGTGCCTGTGCGTGCTATTTTGGCACCTTCAAAGCGTTGACCGGTTTTGCCACATATATCGAGTTTTAAATGATTTATCAAATAGCCTACGGGGATACTGAAAATAAGTTGTTTTCGTGAAAATAACATGGAGGTCAATTATGAACCTCAGAAAGAACCAACAGGTCTGAAACATTTTAGTGGACCTCTTAAAGTTTATTCATTTCATAGCATATGGGTTTTCCTTCAATAAATGAACAAAAAACTTAAAAACTCCCGTTCTCTAAAGCAAAATATAGATTTTTATATAGATATTTGGCATGAAAGATTTTAAGTAGAATGCTATTTAATTAAGTTTTAGCAAATAATAGCCCTGGGGTTAAAACTGATTAAGCAACCACTTAATGTCATAGCAACCATTGCTTTCCTTAGCAACCAACAAGTCCCAAAACAACTATTGGCTTTCTGTAGCAGCCATTGATTGTTGACTTTCCAGATCAACCAGTGACTTTCAAGGCAAATTTGTTTTTCCATAGCAACTAGTGACTTCCATAGCAACCATTGACTTCCCTTAGCAACTAGTGATATCCAAAGCAACAAGTAACTTCCACAGCATCCATTTTCTTCCCTTAGCAGCCACTGACTTTTATAACAACTATTTACTTCGCAGAGCAACCAGGCACTTCTATAGCAACCATTCACTCTCCTCAACAATTAGTAATTAACTTCCATAGCAACAACTGATTTTGTGTAGCAACTATAAACTTTCATAGCAATAATCAATTTTTCTCAGCAAAAATTAACATTCATGCTACCACAGCAATCACAGACATCTCTTAATTTTTTTTAATTTCAGTGACTTTCACAACAACCATTTGATTTCCATTTGCAACCACTGACTTTCCTTAGCAATCAGTAACTTCTATAACAACCACTGACATTTCTTTACAACCAGTGGCTTCCATAGCAACCACTGACTTTCTTCAGCAGTCAGTGACTTTCAAAGCAATCCTTGACTTCCCTTAGCAACCACTGACTTACATAGTTTTATATGTTTTTATTTTCAGAACTGTTATATGTTAGTAAATATGTTTTATGCCTTTGTTATTGTCGGTAAATAGCTTATTAGCTAATGTTCATTGTAATATGTAAACCAACTTAAAATAAAGTTTCTTGTATCTTGTATACCAACAATTGACTTTTTATAGCAACTATTGCCGTTAATATAGCTACCATTCATAACCAGTGAATTTTAATATATCAGATGCAGACTTGAAGTTTGATTATCAGTTGACCTAGGTTTTGACATACCCGGTAATACCCAATTTTCATTTACATGTATAATTATTGATATAAATTGTCCGTTACTGTGATAAAAGGCCGATATAATTGTCCTCTTGTTAAAGATTTTCTAGCCTAATGATTCTACACAAATTAAAATGTAGTTTACAGACCAAGAGTTTAGGTAGACATTTTCCAAAATATCCGCTCAACTCACATGTGCACAAATAGCTATTTAATGGTGAGATCAAAACTGTCCAATATTCATCATCAACTTTTTATCCAAATTTATTTGTTTGTTGTTTGTTTAGAATAAAAGGCACATTGACACATTAATGCCACGCCAAATGCTATAATTATCAAGTACAAATGTCACAAGTTAGTTAAATATTAGAAATAAATAATAGAATACAAATTTATTTCCTGTACATAATTAATGGTTTAGAAGAGATAGTTTTATGTCAAGACAGGTGCTGATATAATGAAGTTTGTTAGTAAACACTTTTGTCCTTTTTTTTCATTTAGATGACATCAATTTACAAATGAAAGGTTAAATTTCATTACTTGGTAACTATTTTAGAATTTTATGATTCTTTTGCTAAAGCATCTTCATTGTATTTTTTTCATTTCCTTGAATTCCTATGTGGCAAGTTGCTGGATTGGCAAGTAGAAATGTATGAAGCCACATATTCATATCCAAATGAAGCCACATAATTTTTCATATTCATATCCAAATATTTGACAGACACACAGCTTCCTTTAAATATTTAATCTGTTGTGACTACATATCGTAACAAAATACTAGTATCAGCTTAACAAATAAATACTTTATTCTTCATAGTTTTAATTCATTTAAGATTAATTTAAACTTGCTATAATATTCAGCAGGTTTCAACACTACTTTCATATTGTCTCCACTATGTTCATGACAATCCATCATTTCTTTCTTACCATCAAACTTTGTTTCACTTAACTTAGTATTTGCTATGTTCTCAACATCAAAGCAATCACAGTTTGAAAGATCACTGTCTGAAGCTGTATCTTTCACTAATTTGTCCGATACAACACTTTGACAGGAACAAGTTTTACCATTTCTTTTGTGAATGCTTTTGTGCTTGATTACAAAACCATGATTATATGATTTTGTTGTTGGGATCACATCATCTTCACTAGTTTGTCTACTACTGTCACATAAACACTTTTTCTGATTGAACTGAATTCTATCATGGGAAATACAGCTTGAAGTGTCTGGATGGTTGCATTCAGTGTCACAAGGAGTACATGTTCCAACTATGTCATTGTTGTTAATAACATTGTCCTGGTGTGAATTCCCCAGGACTGTGACAAGTTCAGCCTTAGACTCAGGACTTTCACATTTGTCACAGTATTTGTGATTAATCTTCTTCAGCAATCCAGTCTCATATTCTTTCTTCTACAATAAAAATATCCACATTAAAAAAAACTACAAATTAAAAAATTACAATGACATTTTATAGAAAGATATTGCAACAAAAGAAGAGGTAAACATTCTGTACACATTGTGAATGATCAAAATTCTTTATGTATACCTAAACCAGTGAAATTCAGACTTGTTCCTATTTGTTTTCCTTGCTTGTTAGAAATTACAGGTTGGCAGTTACTAAATAATGAAATCAAATTATGTACAAGTTCTATCTGTAAAGAACTGCTAATTTCTTCACATGAGTAAGTAGTACAAGATAACTGATTTTTTTTTATTTTGAATACTTTTTACTCATAATATACCTCTTCTTAGTTCTATTTAAAAGACCTACTTATGACTTTGAACACATGGCAAACATACGGGATAATATTATAACTTTAAAATCAAACCTGTATTTTTAGCATAAAGTATAGAGTGCAAGCTTGTGAATATTGTTTCTCTTCAGAAAGCTTCAGTATTTTTTCTGTAGATGAAGCAGATGATATTCCATTCATGTATAATAAGTCCAACATATGAGAAGAATCAAAATGGCTGAATGGGCATCCACTATTCTCATGGGGACCATGGTAATTCTCCTTGAATAGATTAACTTACATTCAATGTATATTTTGGTGTGAATGATATCAACAAATATTTCTGGCACACTGTATAAGATCTTAAATACTCAGAATAAAATAAAATCTTACCATATTACAACATTTTCGAAGTCACGGTAACAAAGATTATACAATGTAGATGAATCTGCTGTTTATAATACTACATATCTATCAAAACATTAAATACATGACCACATATTGACTGCTCATAAAAACAAAAAAAACAAAAACAAACACAAAAAAACAAGAGGGCCATGATGGCCCTGAAATCGCTCACCTGAATATAGAAACTCTCTACGACAAAGAACAAGTAATATTGTAAACTATAAATAAAAGCTGATAAAAAATCTTATTTATAAAATCTTATTCTTTAACTGATATCACAAAGTTCTTATTTGTTTCTGAAATAGTGCATGTGTTAAATAATAACTGGTTGCTATTGCTTAGGGAAAACAACAGTTCCAAAAGATGTGCACACTAGAAATGTGTCATTATGCCACGGACGCCCCCGCATGCAGCCAAAATTTCAGATGTTATAATATTTAGTTCCCAATATGTTTGCACAAATTATTTTTTTCATTTTAAGTTCAAAGCCCTTAAAACTTTTCAAAGTTAACACAAACCATTTTCATACAATGTTCAAGGCACTGAAATTATTCAGTCTTAACCTTTTGAAAATAGCATATTGCATATTTGTAGCCAAAATAATGGCTACATACATTTCCACAAAAGTATGAGTGCTGAAACTGAAAGTTCAAAATTTTTCCAACATTCAGGAAAGATAAGTTTGTCCAAAATCAGTGAACCACGACCAAATTCAAACTTAAACTGCTTATTCCTAAGATGTATCTATATTATTTTCAAAGGGGAATGGTCATAACTCTGCCAAAAAATCATCGAACCATGACCAAATTCCAACTTGACCTGCCCATTCCTTTAACATATCCATATGTAAAATTTGAGTTGAATATGTAACACTGTTGGGTAGATAATGAACAGAAACTGTAAATTTCATATTATTTTAAAGTGAAAGGGGCATTACTCTGCCAAAAATCATTGAACCATGACCAAATTCGAACTTGCCCTGGGTATTCCAAAAACATATCCATATGTCAAATTTGAGTTGAATGTGTTGTACCGTTGGAGAGATAATAAACAGAAACTGAAAATTTCATATTATTTTAAAGTAAAAGGGGCATAACTCTGCCAAAGATCATCGAACCATGACCAAATTCGAACTTGACCTGTATTTTCTCATGACATATCCATATGTCAAGTTTGAGTTGAGTGTGTTGTACCGTAGGGGAGATAATGAACGGAAACTGAAAATTTCATATTATTTTTAAAGTAAAAGGGCCATAACTCTGCCAAAAATCATCAAACCATGACCAAATTCGAACTTGACCTGTATTTTCTCATGCATATACATATGTCAAGTTTGAGTTGAATGTGTTGTACCGTTGGGGAGATAATGAACGGAAACTGAAAATTTCATATTATTTTCAAAGTAAAAGGGGCATAACTCTGCCAAATATCATCGAACCATGACCAAATTCGAACTTGACCTGTATTTTTTTATGACATAATTATCCATATGTCAAATTTGAGTTGAATGTGTGCAACCATTACTAAGATAATGAACGGAAACTGATGATTACGGAATGACAGAATGACGGAACAGGGTAACACTATATGCCCCGGCCATTACATGGCGGGGGCATAAAAATCAATGACCCCACAGGGCAGGGCCAATTTTGACCCCAAGACTTTTATTTGAACAAACTTAGTAGACACTCACAAGATGTTTCATGCTAATACCTAAGCGCTAGCTCTTTCTGTTTTTTAAAGAATATTTTTTAAGTTTTTACTATAATATACATATAAGGAAAATCGATGACTGCATGGGACGATGGCAATTTTGACACAAGAGCTTTAATTAAAAGAAACTTGGTAGACACTCATTAGAAGATTTTTCATTCTTAATATCTAAGCTCTAGCTCTTTGGATTTTTTTTAAAGGTATTATATATATAAGGAAAATCAATGACCCCAGGGCTTTTATTTGAGCAAACTTTGTAGACACCAACTACAAGATGTTTCATGTTTAATATCTAAACTATAGCTATTTGAGTTTTTTAAAAGATGATTTTCAAATTTTTTACTATATACATATAAGGAAAATTAATGACTCCCAGGGCGGGGCCAATTTTGACCCCTGGGCTTTTATTTGAGCAAACTTGGTAGACACTCACTATCATACTTAATATCTAAGCTCTGGATTTTTGAAAGGAGTTTTTTAAGTTTTACCTATATATATATAAGGAAAATCAATTATCCCCTGGGGTGGGGCCAATTTTGAACCAAGGGCTTTTTTTTTTTAACACTTAGTAGACACTCAATAGAAGATGTTTCATGCCAAATATCTTAGCTCTTTGGGTTTTTTTTTAAACAAGATTTTTCAAGTTTTTTTCTTTTGGTTGCCATGGCAACAGAGATCTGCTTGGAATTAATTTCTTTGAACAATTTTTAAAGGTGACCATCAAAGGGACATTCCTGTGACGTTTGGATGAAATTGGCTAAGCGGTTTACGAGGAGATGTTATTTAAAGTAAAAGTTTACGGCCGGACGAATGGTAATCACAAAAGCTCACCTTGTCACTTTGTTACAGATAAAGAGAATTTCTAATGGTTTAACAATAAACATATTTAGAGGGGAAAATGTTTTACAACCAAACTATAGCAACAAGAATGTACTAATACTATAGCAATAATATTACTTTCTAACATTTCACACAGAAACTTACTTGTAAAGCAGCACAAGAGTGCCCCCTGTAATTGATTCTTGAACCTTCTAAACCATACAGGTGTCTGATGTTGTATGTATATCTACCTTCATCTTTTGACCATAAATGTTGGCAGCCATCTTGTTTGTTAGGAGACTGCATGTATTCCTTCCTCCAAAACATTAAAGCTTCATGAATAGGTAACCCAATCTCCTTAAGAAACAGTGAGTATTGGATCTGGAATAAATTACATGTATTATGGCATAAAGTGTTACCCTTATCTGGAAAATGACAAGAATGCAAGAATACTGTAAACAACTGTCTGTTAAGGGCCACTACTTAACACAACTGTTCAAGGAGCAGTGTCCTCCACTTTTCTCTGTCCTGTATATTTAACTACTATTTATTTTGAAATAAAGAGATTGCATAAAGGGTCACAATGACCTCTTAACACTTAATCTGTTTGTTTGTTTGTTTCATTTTACGCCTTTTCCCAACAGCATTTCAGTCATATAGGTGGGTTACAAAGTTTCCTAACCATCATTCCCGGAGAGTTACACCAGTACTAGACTACCTTCCTCCGCGCTAAACTACCAAAGCATCTCCCGGGGATCGAACCCACGCTTACATGTAATGGATTGAACAGGTAGAACTCATAAAAGTTCATCCATTTACAAAGTATAAAGAACCTAGTTCAATGCACTTTGATTTTATGTCAAGTTTAATGCTTTCTTATTGAAGGCCCTTGACCTTTGATTTTTTGACCCGGGAAAAAGTGTGGCAGGTAGAACACTTCAAGGTGTGTCCACACACAATTTTTTGAAAATTAATACTGAAGCTCAAAGTCATTTGATTTAAAAGGCCAATTTTATGTTTTCTTATTGGAAGTAAAACAGTGACCTTGACCTTTAGAGCCAAAAATGGGTGTGACGGGTACAACTTACCAAGATTTATACATACAAAGTTTCATGTTAATTGCTATTAAGTATTTGAGTAACTAGCTATACTGGAGGTGTATAGATAAATAAATTAAGTTAAATATAAAACATACAAGACCACTGGATGTGAAGGAATTAATTAACTTGATGTGAATAAATTAACTAACAGCAAGACTGATCTTACATACACATATTACGTAATAGATAGACAGTATAAGATTAAAAACCCTGGAATGATGTTTCAGCCTGTGTGACATTCTCAGAGACCTATGAAGATGTGACATACATGGAGGGAACATCTCAGAGACATTGTCTACTTCTGTGTGACACAGATCATAATGGTGCTGGTTTCCTGGATATTTATCCTTGTAATGTTTGTAAAACATAACCTACAAATAACAATACAAATATGTGAAAATATAACCAAAATTTAAAATTTCTTACAGATGTATAATACTGAACAGGTAAAAATGAAAAAAGTTTATATTTCGCCAAAAATCTTTTCAAGTTTATAATTTACTCCGCACGAAGGATAAATAACAACATTGCCCAAGGAAATTAATTTAAAAAAGTAAATAGTTTTTTTAATGGGCATTTCATAACACAATAAGCTTGATAAATTGGTATTACATAATTATTTTACTTATATAATTGATTAATTGATAACTTGAAAATGTCCTATAAACTCAATGCATAATGTGAATTAAGCTACATGTATACATGTATAAAGATTGTACATGTAACTCTTGATTTAGTATTACACTGTGTTTGTGACCTTGCCAATTGTTACTAGTAAGACTCCCCACAATATGTTACTGACAAACATTAAAGTATTAATCATGATGTTAAATTTTTGTTTCATATTTTTGCATTTGATTAAATGAGAAACATTTTCTACAAACCTTTATTGTTTTAAGAAGAATTTTTATCCTTTTATCTTCTGTTTTAAAAACTTTAGCTGCATGTTTCACACCTTTCTGTATGAGCTCTTCAAATAGACTGGTTACAGTTTCCCTTAGTTTACAGACTGGTACATGAGCAATTCCATGCTTCAACACAACCTGTCTTGTTGCAACAAATTGTAACACAGTCAAAAATGGTAGCATAAAACAATCCATATCCCCCTTCAAGTACTTTTTGACTACAGTCCTCCATTTTTTATTATCTCCTTTAATCAAAGACATTGTTTTCAAAAACTGTGTTACATATGACGGTAAATCACAGGCTCTGCTACCATGTCTTGGATAGTCTACTGATTTAAATAGGTTACAAAGCTCATCTTCGGTCATACAATTGAACCGGAAGTCAAATAATAATGTTTCTGCTTTCACCAAAAATTCAGCCATATCTCTGTCATAGCAACAGGCTAGTCTGGAAGAAAAATTGGTAATAAAGTATAAGTATCACCTATATACATGTGTACATAACATAATATGAATTAGCTGAAACCAGTAAAGGTAGGTATCAGCAAATTTACATTTAATATCCTTGCATATATCTCACCTCATGTTGAAAATTATTAATGTATTGGTATTTACTTCTAAACATGATTGGATATAACTATAAAACATTGCCACTTTTAAATGTTTCAGGTTTAGTGAAAATAACCATTCTAAAAACATTTAAAACTAAATCTAGCTTGTTAGAAAGGTTATTTTGTGTGATAACATAAAATAAGACATCATAGTTACATCATAGTCACATAATACTCATGATGATAGTTAAGTTTCACATGTGACTAATAACAACCAGGAGGTTCTGGACCAGATATAAAACCAATTATGACTTGTGCAATGTGTAAAGTCAGTTGCTAAAAATGGTAGCATGTGTATCAATTGACAAGAAATTACTGCATCATTACGCTACTGTCACTGTCAGTGTATATAAAGAAATGAATTCAAAAATGAGAAGCTGTATAGATTTAGAACTGTCAACACACAAATGCCATTATGGTTTCATACATTTCATTTTCTGATATCATATGAAATATGGTTTGTAAAAGCTAGAGAAACATTTAAATTTAATCCATTAACCTGAGTATGAAGTGTGACAGTCTGTCCTTCACTGTCCCCTCTATCAGACATTCTGATTCATTCACTTGTTCCTCATCATTTAAAATATCAAATATTTGCACCCTATCACCTCCTGTATCATAAATCTGTAAATCAAATAACTTTTTATAATAAATTTAAGTAAACAGCTAAATATGTTTATTTTTGTACACAAAAGTCTTTTTGAATGTTATACGAAATAATGAGGGTCATGCAAAAAGTTCTATTCCTGATGGACTAAGGTTGTCTTATCCTAGGCTTGGAAATGACAACATTGCCTTGTAGTTTTTAATTCAAAATATTATTTTCTCCTGACGAAGGTTCGATATAATCGAAACCAGTAAAAAAACAACCAGCTCTGGTGTTGATGTGTTGTACTTTTCAATTTTCCTCTTATTTTGGCATTATTTTCTTGATTAAAATTGATTATCCTAAATCAAAATATCTGTGTCAGAAAAAGATAATGCCAAAGCTGAAAGCCTTAAATGTCAACATTGAACAATTTTTAATTTTTATCAAATTCAATATCCCAGTCAACTAAATGCATGCCGACTTTACAACATCAAATCAAAATTTATTAATTGACATGTTGGTATGCATCAATCATTTTCAATGTTACCTTGACTAGAAAGTTGAACCTTGTCACAGCAAATTGTGACAATTTCTGCAAAGAGATATTGCCGCCTGGGGGTGATATGTAAAAAGACATTTTGCCACATATGTCTCACTCTAATTACACAGTCTGAAAAACAGTACATAAACATATTATTCATAAAAATAATAACATATATTGTACATCATGTTGAAAAGTTAATTAAATTCAATGACCAATCTATTATGAAATACACAAAAATGGAAACTTGAACATACTCAACGTGGCAAAATATATATATTTATCACACACCTGAAGTCCCGTGCTGCTTTTGCAACGCCATTGCATGGACGTGCATGCATATATTTTAACAAGACGTCATTTGCGTTAATATTCAAATATAGCATAAAGACGCTCTAAATGTTAACATTACACTATAGGCAGGTCAATGAAAAATGATTATTTTTCACTTTAAACATTCAGTCTTTATCTGCATCTACATGTTACTGCTTTTAAAACAATCAATTCTGATTATGACTAGCAGGAGCGTTGTCAGGAAACTGTTCATAAAAGACATCGTTTATATTTTCCCCATATTTCTAAAGCATGTAGGTCATCTTGAAGGGTTTGGGCATCTTGTTTGGATCTGATAGTTAGGTAGTCTAGACAAAAGTATCATCTGCAAAATGTCTTACCTTTTTTAAGTTTTTATAGATGTTTAAAATTGTTTTTTCTGTTACACTTCAGTTTCCTGTGATTTCAATAATATAACACGTATCGATGTTTTTTCAACATGTCTATCAGACATAATGAAGGAAAACGTAAAATAGGTTACATTCAGGACTTGTAATTAGCTGATTAGATAGTGTTAAATGCGCTTTTTTTCAATACAAATGGCGTCAACGAATTAAAGGGAAATAAATCTATAATACAGTGTTTCGTTTCACATAATTATGCAATGTGCATAAATCTTACTGGATATGAAGCGCTAAACTAAACAGAAACAGTTTTAGTCGTCCAAGACTGATAGCAATGAAATTATACCATATGTTCAGCTCTAGAAAGAGGCCTTCCATTATAAATATTATATCAATATTTCCGTTGCAAAGTTACCTCCCCTTAATAATTTTACGTCTTTTGTATCATTGTTGACATGAAAAAAGATCGGGTGTTAGACTTTCTTTCAACACAAACAGTGTGATTATCAGCTTTATCGGGACGTCGCCACTGTACTACTTTTTTTCTTCTGTACATTTCTTCTTTCAATTTCTTGCACCTATGTTCACCTGCACGAAATATTCGAAACTTACGACAGGTAGTCCTACATGTATAAATATGACGTCGCTTTGAGATATTTTTGCTTCTGGGCAAAGCTTGACGGACATAAAAATAATAACAAGCCCGTAACGCCTGATATATTGGAGTACTCAAAATGGGGGTGGTGCAGTTTCCACATGTGGTCAAAATATATTGACGTGCCAAAGCCAGATTCTCTGAGATATTTCGTTCTAGGTTAGAATCACGCTTTTTAAGAGGCAAGCTATTGCCCAGACACAAAATAGCACAATATCTCTTTGGATTTCGAGACGTTTCGGCCCCAAGACGTATCGGCCCCAAATTACCCAAGATGTTTCGGCCCCAGATGTTTCGGCCCTTTACCAAATCGGCCCTAGAATAAGTACTGTGTTTTTAAACCGGTATATTCATAGCATTTCAATAAATAAATGAATCAATTGATATATATAATATGAACTTAGGCAAAGCCTATGAACGGGGAAGTTGTTAAGAATTCCTTTCATTCTTTCCGTTTAAAAGTGTCATTCGGTATTATATGCACCGCTTCCGTTTTCACTCGGAACACTCGACGATTATCATTTATCCGAAAAGTTGAGATTTGTTCCGTTATCGGAATACCCCGCCTATTACATTGTAAATGGCGGCGCCCAACTAGAACTGACACTGAAAATTTCATTGATAGGTATAGAATTCTATATATTTTTTAATTGTTTTTTATTTCATTTTCTTTTAAATATACACGTGTAGTCTATAGCCGGGCAAGCCAAAGCCCGGACCCGCTTCGCGGGCCCGGTCTTTGACTTCCCCGTATAAATCATTTTGTATAAGAATAAGGTTATAATAGTAGGGAAGGAATAGAAGGGGGAAAGTAATCAAACAGAACAGAACATAAACTTTATTAATATTTGAAAAAATATAATACACAAACAAACAAATATATAGATAATAATTTATTAATACAATTAAACAGAACAGAACATAAACTTTATTTTGAAAAAATATAATACACAAACAAACAAAATCTTTTGAAGTTTTCTCTGATATTACTTACCGCCAATTAGCATAAAGCTATAAACAGTTAACTAGTTACACATTGAAAAATTTACGTATAGTTTAATTAAGATCAAAAGATAATAAATGTTTTCTAAGGAAAAATTGTAATTAACTTTCTTAATCCAGAAGTTTTAGTGGTTTGTTTTATAAATTAAGGATTAACCTGCATTTATTGTTTGTTACACGTTTAAAAACATTAACGTATATCTAAATGGTTCAAGAGATCAAAAGATAATAAATAATGATTTAAAGAATTAAAGTGTCATAATTGTTTAATTGTAATTAAATTAATTGTTGTTAATCAATCAAGCAATATACTATAGTAGGGCCGAAACGTCTTGCAGAAAATGGCCGAAACGTCCAGGGGCCGATTTTTCCACTGGGGCCGATTTGGTTTGGGGCCAAAATGTCCTGTTTGCTCTCGTTGTACAGTACAATTAGTTTGTTTAGTATAAGATCAAGACGGTATAGATCATATAGATAGATAAAGAGTGATTAAGTCAAAGATATAACATTTGTTTATAGTTCTTTGGTAAAATGAAACTTAATTAAAATGCTCAATCATTAACCATTCCAACTATTACAGATATCCAAGTGGGTCCTGCAAAAAGAATTGAGAAATATAAACATATGAATCATGAACACTCACAAAGCTTGTGGTCTTGTTAAGTAGTCATTCACAACACACTCTCCAAAGAACTCAATCCATATCTAAATGTTATTATTGGTTTGACTTTAATGAGATAGTATTTTTGGTATATTATTACACTGTTGAGTCAATGTGATGGTTTTGTTTTGGCACCAAAATGAAAGTGCAGACATGTTGTCATCTGACTGACCCTACATATGTAACTGTACATAATAATTTGTAAAAATCTGCATAAAAGAACCCATAAAAACATTGCAAACAACAAAGAAAAATTCATCAAAGTTTAAGGCTTTCCATGTGTTGCTAGCAATTTTCAGACTTAATTGAGTCTTCTAATGTGGATTCTAGAGAGGTGGGGCATATATCTACTAAAATAGGAAATGAAAATGAACATCTTATACTTAAAATGTATATGAAACTTAAATTTTTAAAATTAAAAGAGTAAAAATTTATTTTGAGTGGATTTTAAATGTCTTCCCTTTTATTTGAAATCTGTTGAGTTGGTACTATGGGAAGATTGGGTTGGTCTAGGGTTATACATAGAATAATAAAAAAAGCAATGTTACTACACTACTAATAGTATCAAATATATCCTTTTCACAAGGACCTTTGAATAGTTGTTCAATTAAACTGAGAAAAGTTTGCCTTACCTACTTATATCATTTTTAAAATCTATCATTTCAGGTTGTTTAGATTCAATGAGACAGATTAATTTCAATCATGGCTGAGACATTGTACATGGTTTTTATGTATGGGACTCTGAAAAAAGGTCAACCAAATGAGTACTTTATGAATTCACTACCATGTGTAGAGTTTCTAGGTCTAGCAGAAACCTGTAAGAAGTACCCGTTAATAATAAATAGAGATCAATGGAACTTACCTATGTTATTGAACAGGGAGGAAAAGGGCAAGGTATGAACAGGTGTTTGGTGCTTTGATTGGTCACTACCAGTCCAAACCCCCTCTATAACCACAACCTTTCCCAAACAATCTAAACTGCAGTGGGTTTTATTCATGTAACATGCAATTAGAAATTACATGTATATATAAGTTTGTGATAACATTTCTTTCATTTCAAGCAACAAAGAAAAATTAAGATACATATACATGTATATGTTTAGTTTGGGAAAGGTTGGGGATTATAGACAAGGTAAGGGATTAAATAAGTGACCAAACAATGTTGAAACCTGTTGTATCAGAATACAAGTTCAATATAATTTTAGTTGTTGCTAGAACATGTATCATTTATAAAAATAGTACATTTTACATGTCGTTAGTACTTTATTATGCTTGCACAATTTTAACATTTTCTGTTTACTGATTATTGATTTGTTCAAACCTGAAAGAAACAGGGGCTTTAGAACTATTTGAAAGGCTGTTGTATATATTCATGTACCATATTTATCCAAATAAAAAAAATTCTTTGAAGTTGTAAATGCATGGGTGCCTTTTTTGGAGAATTAAGGTAAAATGATAAAATATGAAATCAGCTGATAAGTATGCATTTTAAAGTAACCACTGGAGAAACAAATTAACATCTTTGAATGAATTTGACCTGCTGAATATGTGACTGTACCAACTGTACAGAGCCCAGTTTGATTTTTTTTTATTTTTCATGTAAAAAAAAAGGCAGTGAAAGGGGAAGTATATCAAGTTAACGATGATTCCCTAAAAGAACTTGACCGTTTTGAAGGACATCCAGAATTTTACGAGAGGACAGAAATAGAAGTTGAATTAATAAAAGGTTCAAATATGTTTCTTTATTGATCTTTATTCATAATGCATTTACTGATCTGCACAAAACAGTGACGTCAAAAAAGATTTTATGACAAGATTGTACAGAAGGACTTTACCAAATGTTACACACTAGTTCTATTATAACTTGTTCAGAATCAGAAAAACAAACAAAGATAATGAAAAAATGTAAAAATGGTAATACCTTCCCTGTCGTTTATTATGTACCAAATAGTTTTATTTAAACATTTCTGGTGTAGTATCAATGAAATTAATTAAGAATGTTACAATAAAGTAACTTCAATGTTTTTTTGGTTTTCAGATATTTTATGTCATATACCCTGTCATAATGAAATTCTAACTTTCTAAATACTACCTCAAGCTATGATAATGCCTTGTCAATGACACCAGTATATAGTGGACATTATGTTAGTTCATATCCATTCTATATGAACAGATTGCCTAATCTAATCATTCTGTAGATTTTTTGGAAAAGGATGATAATGACATTTGTTTACTATTTGTAGATAGCAAGGTGGTGAGATGTTGGACATATTTCATAAAAGACTTCAAAGAAGATGTTCAACAAGAATACTTATCTCACTATGATAGTACTGGTGATCATGGCTTGGAATATGACCAACGGTAAACTATCCCTATACAATCCTAGTCTATGTCTAGATCAACGGTAAACTATCCCTATACAATTCTAGTCTATGTCTAGATCAATGGTAAACTATTCCTATACAATTCAAGTCTATGTCTAGGTCAATGGTAAACTATCCATATACAATTCTGTCAGTAAACTATCCCTATACAATTCTAGTCTATGTCTAGATCAATGGTAAACTATCCATATACAATTCTAGTCTATGTCTAGATCAATGGTAAACTATCCCTATACAATCCTAGTCTATGTTTAGGTCAATGGTAAACTATCCCTATACAATTCTAGTCTATGTCTAGGTCAATGGTAAACTATCCATATACAATTCTAGTCTATGTCTAGATCAATGGTAAACTATCCCTATACAATTCTAGTCTATGTCTAGATCAACAGTAAACTATCCCTATACAATTCAATGGTAAACTATCCCTATACAATTCAAGTCTATGTGTAGGTCAATGGTAAACCATCCATATACAATTCTAGTCTAATTCTACATCAATGGTAAACTATCCCTATACAATTGTAGTCTATGTCTAGATCAATGGTAAACTATCCATATACAATTCTAGTCTATGTCTAGATCAATGGTAAACTATCCATATACAATTGTAGTCTATGTCTAGGACAATGGTAAACTATCCCTATACAATCCTAGTCTATGTCTAGATCAATGGTAAACTATCCATATACAATTGTAGTCTATGTCTAGATCAATGGTATACTATCCATATACCATTGTAGTCTATGTCTAGGACAATGGTAAACTATCCCTATACAATCCTAGTCTATGTCTAGATCAATGGTAAACTATCCATATACAATTGTAGTCTATGTCTAGGACAATGGTATACTATCCCTATACAATTCTGGTCTATGTCTAGATCAATGGTAAACTATCCATATACAATTCTAGTCTATGTCTAGGACAACTGTAAACTATCCATATACAATTCTACAGTAAACTATCCCTATACAATCCTAGTCTATGTCTTGGTCAAAGGTAAACTATCCATATACAATTCTAGTCTATGTTTAGGTAATTAAGCATTTGAATAAAGTAAAATGAAAATTACAGGGATGTGCAACATTGATGGATTTTATCTGTCTTTTAGATTGTGTTGAATGGGGTTCACACTTTCCCCACAGGGTCATGGGAGAACCATTTACATTATTAACTTGAGTGATACAACCTGCCAAAACAGCCCATGCAATATTCACTATCATAACTATTATTCAATATTGCATGTATTCTATTGAAAGAATAGTGAACTTTTTTATGTTTTTTGTTGTTTTTAATCCCTACATAATCACGTTTTATTTTCAGAGAGAATGATGAACATCCAAGCCAATCTTGACGCAAACTGTTGGGTAGGATTAGAGACCTTTATAGAGACCTTTATTATTATATATGGTTAGAATATATTGTTTATAAAGACTGTGATAACATAATTTACATATGAACTTTACATTCCTGTATAATATTAATGAAGTATTTAGTTGTCAATATAAAAACATTGTATGTGCAATGAATATGTGTGCATGTTGGATTTTATAATAAATTCTTAAGCATGTTTCAATTGTATTTCCTTTATAATTCATAATGCTTAAATGTTGGAAACCCAGGTGTACACTTCATTTGTGACGAATTACACTGTTCGATTAGCTCAATAGGTTGAGCATTTGACCGAATCTGGCAATTCGGGTTAGATTCTTGGAAGGTGCAGGTCACTTTCATTGTGATTAATCATAAAATCCTTCTATGGTCATTCAAAACTGTACCTCTGCTCTGGCATGTATAGAAGTTTATCAGTTCCATGTGAAAGTGAAGGCAACTGGTACTGGTAAACTGCTTGACAGCCTGCCAAGGAATGATGTGGTGGCTGAACTGTACTTTTGTAAATTCAATGGGGCCTCCTGCTGTAATTCTGAGTGAAAACAATGACACCACCACCATTCAGGGGAGTAAGTACTTGTTGGTTTGGACAATCTTGATCTATACATTAATGTAAAGCATTTCTTTCTGTGTAACAAATGTACTAATGTGAGCTACATGTTACTGCTTTTTCTATACTCTTAACATGAACAAGATTATAGACCGCCATCAACAATTCTTAAATACCAAAAATTAAACAGCTTAATCAGTGAATAGCACTAAGTGGAAATCCTTGACCTATTAATAACACAAGAAGGAATTAGCCTATATTTGTGAAACTTTGGAGGGATATTGCCCATTCCCAGTAAATGACCCCTATCATGAGTTTGAATGTCCTAAGGTCAAAGGCCAAGGTCACATTGACACTGTTGGAATATCCTTGACCAGTCAATAACTTGAGAGCAAATAAGCAAAACTGGTTAGGGACATTGTCCATGGCCAGTAGATGACCCATATCTATTATGAGGCTATTAAATCAAAGGTGAAGCTCACACTGATGCGTGGTAGGAACATTGCCCATGGCAAGTTGATGACTCCTATTTATTAAGAGGTTACTAGGTTTAAGCTCACAGTGACACCTTAATCCTTGTCTGATGAATAAACTTGGTCTGGTTGTTTTCTTCTATTTTTCAATTGAGTCACAATTTAACATTGTATATCTCAAGACAGCACTTATTCCAGGTGTATCATTTTCTAACATGCTGAGAGAGTTCTTGTATGAAGAATTTTATAAATATCCTCTAATTGTTAACAGGAAATAAAAAATCTGAAGTATCACTGATGTAAATGGTATAAATAACAATTTTCCCTGAGATTTTTAATGTTTATTATTTTAAATTTTATGACACTAAAAATATAACAAGAATATATATTTTTAAGATAAATAAATTAAGGCATGTCAACAAAAATATGAATATCTGTTTTCAAGAAATGAACACACAAAATTAGTATTATCATTTTTTTACTATCGCTGCTTTATTACACAATACTGCTGTGTTGGATGAAGAATCTCAACTGTTTAGTTATAGTAATATAGTCAAAAGTACACAGTGCTGTAGAAAGACTTCAAAGAATTATCCATTTTAATGATGCAATAATAATATCTCAAACAAATGTTTACAATGCATATTGAATTTGAGACTAAGATTTCCTCACAACAATTATATGAAGTCAATTTGGAAATTTAATTGTTCTGTTTTAAGATTTCTTGGAGACAAAGAAAACTCTTTAAGGAAAATTAATGGTAAGGAAGACTGGTTTTTTAAATTGACGCTGTGAGAATTGTTCAGTGCTTCACAAGCTCTACTGGTTGAATAAGAATTAGTTACTTCAGCCATTGGCAGTCACCTGAGAATATGTAACCAAGCTATTGCATAAAAGTAATCAAGTTTCTTGGCAGGATGAAAACACACAGCAGTTAAAGACATAAAGAGGTCATTATACTAGTGGCATACACCTTCCAATGGCGTAAGCTCTTGCAAGATTATTAGTAATATACTTAGGCCATATACCATGAACATGTAAGCCCTTGACAAGTGGTATTTGACTGTCATTTCAACCCAAACCCTGAAAAGATTGATGAACTTATTGTATATACATGTACCTTATATTAAATTACTACCCAAACCTTTAGAAGGTTTTTATTCTGTGTGTCAACTCCTCAGTCCTCAAAGGCATTTGCAAACCATTACTATCTCAGTCTTTCCAAGGACAAGAGAGAGAGGCAAGGAAAAGAAATGGCTCACAATCAAGGTCACCAAGGACACTAGTGGTCTAAATTAGATTACTAAAGCTAAAATTTCACAAACATTGATCACTGGGCAGTCACCGAGTCAACCTTTCATTCCACTCATGGAAGCACATAAGACCCTTAAAATTTGAAAAGCCAAGCTTGAAAAAATGCAAGCATTTCAATCAAAAAGAGTCATTGTCACCATTAAAACAAGAGGTGAAAGTTCACATATACAAAATGTACTTGATTTTTATAACTTAAAACTTAGTTTTGGGCATAACTTTCTTAATAAAGCGTTAATTATGAACAATAATTGGAGAAATAAGTGACCCTAGGTTAGAGTTTTTTCTCTAGGGCACTAAATTGGCAAATAAATGCATGAGGTACATAAAAATTTAAATATGTTGACTCCTGGGACACCATCAATATTGACCTCAACTCTGATTAAAGCATCTAAAATAGAGGACCATTAGATGATGCTAAATACAAAAAAGAAAATAAGGCATAAACACAAAGATTTCTAAAGATTTTTTTTTTAAATTCCCAGCAGCATATTTTGAAGTCTAAAAATTTCTTAAGATCTTTTTTTAAATATTTTCGCCATTTAAAATTATTTAAGACAATTTAAAAACAGTGAAATGACAGTCATCAATTTTTACAGTTCACACAACACACGGTATATGCACAGGTGAGATAAAATGTTTTATTTTTACCGTATGGTAGATGTTAAAATTCTACTGTATAACAATAATGTACAAGTACTATAAATGAGATGTAACAACAATCTATTAAAGATATAATATTTACATTCATAACAGATATAAAAATTTAAACTTTAACAAAATTATTTTTAAATAAAAAAAATAGAAATTTACTGGGGTAAAAGGGATTTAAAGAAAAGGAGAAATATAAATCAAATTTCCCAAAAATCCCCTAACTTTTCACCCAACGGGAAATTTAAACATTAGTAAAGGGATGGGTCCCCCAAAAATGTTTTTTCTTAAAATACCGTTTTTAAAAACCAAAATTTGGGTCAAAACATTTTAAACTTTCCCCAAATACTTGCCCATAAAAAATTTTTTCCCTTTTGAAAAAAAGGTTAAATTTCCAAAACTTGGTTTAGATTTTAAATTTTGTCTTTGTCCCCTGCCCTACAATTTTGGGCCCCAGAAGAATGGAGAAATTTGAAAGGTTTTAATTTTTCTGCATTTGGAAAAACAAGAAACTTTTTCCAAAACCTTTGGCCAGCAAATAAAAAACAAATAAAGCCGCGCCAGGGACAAAACCAACTAAGGGGGTTTGCCCCTCAGCATGTATCCAGACCAGCCTAAGAATCTGCACAGTCTGATCAGGATCCATGATGTTCACTATCAGTTTCTCTACTTGTTATAGGGTTTGTAAGCTGGTATGCTGGTCGCAAACCCATTATGTTGGTTTTGTCATGACACGGCTCAAATAAAGTTCACAAACAGGGCTATAAATGAAAACCCATGCAAGGGCTATGGAACTTGGACAGTGACTAATAAGACATGTATGTAGTTCTGAATGTTATCAAAGCTTGATGTAAAATTGGACATAAACTTTAACAAGGTTGAAACACAGTACACGGTAAAGTGCAACCTTTTTTGTAATAATTTGCCTGAAAATAATTGTACTATTCTTTTAATAGTAAAGCCGATTTAACTGTAACAAGAGCTGTCACAGGAGACAGCGAAGCTCGACTAATAAAATACTGGACGCAGTAAGGGCAAAACTATGAAAGAAACATCAATTATGTATAATTATGTATTAAGTTATAGTAAAAAAATAACATTTGTTGGGGAATAATTATAGAAATAGTCATGCTAGAGTTATGGACCTTGTCACACAACATTTGTGTAATGATAAGAAAATATATATTGAAGTTTTGAAGTAGATACATTGTACCTTAAAAAGTAAAGAAGTTATTATATTTCTTAAAGAAAATCCTAAGTTCAAAGAGAGATAAATCTGTAAATATTGCTTCAAGAGTTATGAACATTGTCACATAAAATGTAATTGATGATAAGGAATAAGTATTTGAAGTTTGAGGTAGATACCTTTAAAAATAAAAAAGTTATAGTAAAAAATAACATTTTTCTAGTAAAAAAATCTAAGTTTATGGGGAGATAATTCTTGCAATATTGGTGCTAGAGTTATGAACCTTTTCACATAAGATGTGGATGATGATAATGTACATATATTTGAAGTATGAAGTTGATCCCTTTAGAAATAAATAAGTAACAGTAAAAAATAATACTTTTGATGGAAAATTCTAAGTTCAAGGGGAGATAAATCTAAAAATATTGGTGCTAGAGTTATGAACCTTGTCACATAAGATGGGGATGATGATATGGTACATATATTTGAAGTATGAGGTTGATCCCTTAAGAAATAAAGAAGTAACAGTAAAAAATAGTATTTTTTAAGGAAAATTCTAAGTTCAAGGGGAGATAAATCTGAAAATATTGGTGCTAAAGTTATGAACCTTGTCACATAAGATGTGGTTGATGATAAGGAACATATATTTGAAGTTTGAAGTTGATACCTTGAGAAATGACAAAGTAATAGTGAAAAATATTTTACTGCACCAAAACTTTAATCTAAAATCTGGACGCGGACGCCGGGGCGAGTAGGCCAGCTCTATATATACTTTGTATAGTCGAGCTAAAAAATACTGATGTTCCAATTGCTTAAATGTTCAATAATAAATATGATCTTCCTAATAATTATTTTCTACTTTTTCTAAATTGTATTTTCTAAAATAGTTAAATCCTTCAGCTTTCTCAAAAGTAGGCACTGATTTCATAATGAAGTATTCTTCAATTCATGTTATATCCAGAGTGAAGAAAAGTTGACAGTAACATATTTGGCACAAGTGGTTGTGAATGAAGTTCTATCAGTTGTGACTGGCTGTTTATAGACTGCGACTCGGGAAACTCTGATTTCAGATTTTCAGACTTGGAACAAGTCTGCATACTAGAATGTGATTGACAGTTAATGTTTGACTGGTTCTCAGCTAGAGACCGTGATTGTGATACAGACTGGTTTAGAGCAAGATTCTGGGATTCACTGCTTTCACTGTTTTGACCAAAGTGGGTCCTCAAGTGAGTTTTCAGTAAAACATTTTGTTTATATCCAATGCCACAAACATGGCATTTGTACGGTGTTTCCCCAGTATGCTGCCTCTCATGGGTTTTTAAGTTCCAGTTTTGTGTGAATGCTTTTGTACAGAAACGGCACTTGTATGGTTTTTCCTGAAAAGAAGTTTTAACAATAATTAACATTTGAATATTCAATTAAAATTAAAGAGAAAATGACTGAAATTTTAAGCAGCATTATTATAGATTATCAGAAACTATCACTTAGTTTTATATCATTCAAACAGGCCCATATTTAATATTTATGCAGTAAATAACATTACTTTAAGAACAATTTGAAATATCAGTGGAAGTTACAGAAGTCTATCATATAAAACAAGAATATTTTCAGATGGAAGTTTTGACAGGCTAAAGCCATTTACACAATTACGTTAGAGAATCTTTAATACTTTTACAATTTAATGTTATAGTTTTTTTTCTCTTTGTAAAGATCTTGTGGCAAATTTCTATTTTTATTAGTAGAGAAACACCTTCATTACACCTTCATGTACTTCACAAAAGTAGAATCACCAACCTTTCCTTATGCTAGTTGTCTTGCTTATCTTAAGTCACTGAAGGGATTTAAAGCCATCAGGTAAACTCATACTTCAAAGGCAGTTTCTAAAACCACTTCACCATTGGGACCCTTGTGTTTTAAATTGATCTTCTGATATTTAATATCAGTTTTTAAAATATTAAAATTTCCAGGTACCTGTGTGTGTATACGAACATGCTTCTTTAATGCCCCTCTGGCAGCAAATGTCTGTTGACAAAATTGACATTTAAATGGTTTCTCACCAGTGTGTGTTCTCATATGTCTAGATAGACAACTGGCATTACTGCTGGCAAATGCACACACCTATAACAAACATAACATTATAATATGAAGTATATCTTATTATCTATTATCAATTTGTGTTTAATTCATTGATTATAATGCTGACTTTTTTTTATGGTCACATAGGGTAGTAACTGCAGCTCAAAGATGTAAATTGCCAGAAAATAAATATTCAGACTTAAAAGCAATTAAGCAAACCTTTTTCCTTTTAAATTGTCTGCCTATTTCACATGCCAGCCAGAGAATTGGACTATAAAATTAAATATGTTTCAAGAATTAGTAATTCACTTTCTTGTTATTAAAGATAAACATATACATGTTAACTAATTGTATATTTAGATGATCATCGTTAAACATGATCTGTCAAGAGAGTTCCTACAGTAAGGAATAAATACAAAACTAAATTAAAATCTTATGTTAAATTTAAAATTTGTAGGATGAAAGTCATGTTTGCTGACCATCCATGAATTATATATACTACACAGTACATTAACTATTTACCTCACAAACAAATGGTTTTTCTCCTGTATGTGTCCGTCTGTGCCTTTGTAAGCAATGGTTTGATACAAAACTCATCTCACAGTATTCACACTTGTGAGGCTTGATACCTAGTAAAATCAAAAACATAACCCTCAAATCTCATTTCAAGACATAAATTTGAATGATAATTAACCTTCACCTTACTGAGACCCAAATCTATTAGTCTTTACCAGAAAACATTTGTGCAGTCTGTCAGGGCTCTATACTGTTGGCTGAGATGCTGTACATTTGATAGCCACATAAAATAATTGATAACGGACAGTTCCAAAATATATCTCAGTATTAATGATTTCAATCACTATATCTCAGTATTAATGATTTCAATCCAGGGATTGCATAGAAAACAAAATTGAGAGCCACCTATTTCTGGGAATGGCTACATTTTAGTGGTGAAAAAACATACAAACAAAAAAAAACAACCAAGTCCTTTTAAGTTATAAATGTATTGTAGGCAGAAACCAAGGTGGATTGACTAAAGAACTATATAGTTACGATGTATACACTCAATGTGACTCAATATATATATGAGCACAACAAAACAAGGCCAAATTAAGTTTTTTAATTTTCTCCCTCCCTATTCATCTCCTTCTAACATATAGAAACCTTTTCCCGATGAAATAATAATAATAATATCTTACCCCCACAATGTTTTACATGACTCAACATCAGATATCGAGCATTAAATGGTTTCCCACAGAACTCACACTGTAGGGTCTTCTCTGTGGAATGTGTGTCCATATGTGCCTACAACAAATATAACACAGATATATATTTATATTAGATAATATTATTGTGCATACATGTATATGCTAATAGCCAAAACATTTTTGGCTTGCAGCCACGGCTGCAAGCCTATTTGTTTTGGAAAAGTTGTTCCGGTTAGGTGGTTTCCTGCTTACATTTGTTAGTGCATGATTGAACGGGAAACCAGTTGCAATCGTGCCAATCGCAACTTTTCGGCCCTTTCCGTCACTCTTCGGATTAATTATAATAGCCGAGGTTGTTCCGATTGCAATCGTGACAATTCGGGCGATTCCGTCATACTGCGGAATCAGACGAAGTAATATTACGGAAATCTAAGCTATTTTAGTTACTTTGGAAATCCCAGCTTGTTCTATATTTTTACATGATTCCGTTTCAATTCTTTTTCAAGACGCGAAAGTTAGTTTCTTTTATAATTGGTTTTTGTCTTTATTAGTGTTATAAAATAGAGAATGGTTACTGTAGTATTATTCCGTCTCCAAAGGGCGGTCATGCTTACCAAAATATTGTGACCGAATCACGCAGAATATTAGTGCATGGTCAAGTTATATTAAGATCTACTGACATAGTTTAAAGGTAATCTAAAAATAGCCCATGCATATCATTAACCTTACCACGTGCTGATCTCCTGTCCATAGATATTTGAGGTGTAACATAGTTGATACGTGCTTATTAATTGGTACCACGTAACGAAGTCTTTTAGTGCATTCACTTAGAAATGAAATTAGCAACTGCCAAAACGAATGACTCTCTGCGAAAAAAGTGGAAATGAAATGTCCTTCAGTACGATAGATTGATCTCCACGTGAGAGCCAATGTTAGTATTTTTACGATTGATTATTTTAATAGAGAATAGATTTCGAATCGTTTTTGACAAAAAATATTCATTTTTACAAAAAAAGTTGCAACTGTTATCGTCAGCATGTTCCCGTTCAGTTATAAACAGTGGACTTCTGGTCCCTATTTACGCATAACCACTGGTGCTCAAACAAATGGGCACAGGTGCTCATCCAGTCTTGGGCTTACCCTACCTATCCCTTTAAAAGTGAAACTCTTTTTCTTTTCGAGAAAAAAACTATATAAACCCTTTATGATATACAAATACCGTACATGTGTAATTAAAAAAAAAAATGTGATAATAAATTGAAACAAGAAAAAAATCCACAATTTAAAGGGAAGGGATGATGACACACTGAGCAAGCCTTTCCTTTTAAAAGGAAACTTTATTTTTCTTTACCTTTTCCAATAATTTACTATCAAATACTTTTATTTATAAAAGCACCTGTGTCAATCACTTCTTCCTTAAATTTCATATAACGAAGCAGCCTCTGGGGTGTATGAGTTAAGGTTAAACTATCTCTTTCTTATCTACAGTGTCTTAAAAATTACAGAGACTAAATTCTTTCAGGAGAGAAAAGCATCTTTGCTTGTATGCCTCTCTCATCATTATTAACCATACTATTATGTATACTGCCATATTTGTATAAATTTGTATTATACATTTTGCCACATGGGTCATTGACCTTCTGGTTTGCTATGAATAAAACTTGAATTTTGAATACTTAAAGAAGCCTTGCGAATGCAATAAAGCCATTATATAAACAAAGCAACATAATTTGTTTCTAAAATTATACTATACATGTATTTAAATCAATGCAAGGAAATGTTCCTGAAACTCAATAAAACATTTATGATGAATAACATCTGTTTTACTGAAGTATTAATATTACTGCATATCTATATAAATTATTTTACCTTTAGCTGGCATTTTCTTGTAAATTCTTTCTTTGGAACACAGATTTCACATGCAAAAGGTTTGATTCCCTTGTGTACAAGATAATGACCTTCCAGCATTCCTTTTGTAGACAAGACCTTGTCACACAGCTCACATTGATGGAAGCCACGGTTATGGACAGTTTTTCTGTGTTCAATTAAATCCTCATCCACTGTAAACTGTTCACCACATAACTGGCATAAATATTCAACATCTGAGTGTTTTGACTTTATGTGATGTCGTAAAAACAATCTTTTTGTAAAATCCTCTTTACACAGCTTACATGTTATCTTTTCATCTGTTTTCTTTCTTTTAACTGTCATATTACTGCTTGCCTTTGTTTTTCTATCTTTCTTTAAGAAAGATACCCTTTTTTCCTTTCTTACCTCTTGTTTCAATCTGATAGTCATTTTCAATTTTTTCAGTTTTTTACTTCCTTTTGTTGTTACTTTACTTTTATTACGATGTTTCCTTTTAGAAACCTTTTGTTTTTTCTTTCCATTTAAAATTAAGGATTCCTCGGGTTTATAATCATCAGTATCGCTACCTGATTTATTAATTCTATTTATATCAGGGACACAGTCGGGATCTTCTTTCTCAATCTTAATTTCTGGTTCACCTTCACTTGCTAAGTTTACAACATTTCTTGCCATGTTTTCTGTATCCACTCTTAATGAACTAGTGTCTTTGGAATTACTATTAACAATGGCATTACTATTTTCTTCAAAGTCTATTTCTTTAACTTTTGAATATTTTGTATGACGTGTACCATGGCCTGTTTGTGTGCCTCTACTATCAGTAACAAACTTTGGATAAGCTGTCTTGGTAGATTCAGAAAAATAATAGGACCCATTTCCATTATGTGTTTTAATATGAGCATGCAATTTACATATTGTGTAAAAACTCTGTTCACAGCCACCACATCTATACATATAATCAATACTGGGTTTCTCCTCACAGGGAACATAACTCCTATTGAAAGTATGTAAACCGAATGATAAAGAGTTATCTTTTGTGTCATTGCTTATATTTGCTGTTGACATATTGACAACACTGTTACCATAGTTTTGTATTTGAATATTTCCTGACATGCCACTGTTAGAATATGATGAAGTTACTTGTGTACTTGATGTTAATGGATTACTAACATCTAATGACCTTATCTTTGACTCAAAGCCACTAGTTTGACTGTTGAGATCCATATTTACAGAAACATTTTTATTAGTCATATCTAAGCCCACAGCTCTACCAGCATTTGTAGATGCACCAAACTCCTTGTCACTATACTTTATACAATCTTGTTGATGAACTGATTCCGCCTGAAGGCCACTTGGTTGATACATTGAATGAAATGAAAATACCGGAGATTTCTCAGAAGTCAGCACTTGTGATTCAGATAGACTTGAATTTCTATTTGCTAACATCATGTATCCATCAGCCTGGGATGTTTTCCCAAAGTCTTGACTGTAAGACACATAAGAAAGGTTGTTCTGAAAATTTTCCATGGTAGCTTTTTCCTTTACAATTACTGCTCCACCTTGCTAATAGCATTACGTTCAAGATTGAAACTGTAAAGAAAAGAATAAAAGTGTAACTATATTACTACGACAATCAATGGTATTTCATTATTAGCTAATATATATTATTACGTATGACAATACTTATAATTTGGCAGTACATTTAACAAGATACTTCAAAACAAGAGCTGTCAACCTGTCATGATATTGACAAATGCCCCTGAAAAGGTTTCTTAAGCATGCAGGTATTATGAAAAGAAAAGAGAATAAAAGAAACTAATTGCTTAAAATTGTTTTTGTGAAATGAAGTGCTATTTATAGCAAACTTAACACCTTTGGATAAGGGTCTTGGATGCAACACATTGTTTTGATGTGGTAGACATTTGTGCCAAGCTTTTTCAAAAATACCTCAATGTATGACAAAGTTACAGTCCGGACACGAATAAAGTTGGGATGCACAGACGTCTGTCCTCAAAGTTAGGTATTTAAGCAGCTACTCTTTTGTTCTCTCTAACAATGTTCTTTTAGCCACGTAACAGAAAAAGTAGCCACATAAGAGCTTATTGAATGAATAGCATCAAAGGAAATTTACTGTTACCTATTGCTTCCATAGCCACCTAAGTATCTATATATGTTTGTAAGGACAGACAGACGGTACATCATTTTAATATGCCGCCCTTTGGGGGCATAAAAATGTTCATTATATTATTATGAGAGAATGGACAGATCAAAGTGGTTGATGTCTGTTTATTCTCTCGTGTTTTGCTAAAGGTACTTATGTACGAGTCGATAAGACGTTGGAGTGTACATGTACATATTAGGACTACCTAGGGCTAGTCCAACTAATAAGACTTCTCAAAGAGACATAAAGATAATTTTGATGGGTTATGTCTTTTTTACAACTGTTTGACAGTATATAAAAAAACAGTCTGTAAAATTGGTCAAACCATTCATGCGAAATTAACAAGGCTAATTAAGCCTATTAATGCATATTTAGACGTAAATTGCTGATTTGAAGCTTAGATTTTTTACATTGGTAAAACTTGCTTTTTCCGATAAGCGTAAAACTGTAGAAAAAAGAAAATGGCATGCCGTTCAATGAAGGACTAGATCTTTTTACCTAGGACAGTGACAAACAGGAGGGGTCCAGTTTAGTCAAAATATATTGACGTGCCAAAGTTGATTCTGAGATATTTTTGTTCTAGGCCAGAATCTCGCTTTAACGGCGAGATATTGCCCAGACACGAAAATAGCACAATATCTCGTCACGGAGTACAATTAGTTGGACTAGGGTCCAGTTAAGAGGTGTAGGGTTAAAGTTATTCTGGAGGTCCAGGGGCCAATGCACTCTAGAACAATTATAAGGAAGCAGTTATCTGGCGTTAACAAGAAGTGCTATGTATGTCTAGGTCTCCAACAAGAGGTCTGACATATATATAAAATAATAAACAGACAAACTGATATTGATAAAAACAATTTTGCATTTCGTTCTGATATTTTCAAAAATAAGTTAATAATTGTAACATAAGTGTACTTTGTATTTCTAAATACTTTCCATCGCATGTGAACAAAATAATGACACATCATACTTTAATACTTTACAATATATAAAAAAAATCTACAAAATTAATTCATTTAGCGAGCACTGACCAAAAATTCGAATATTTTCATATTGAATTATATTGGTTATTTATAAAAATAAGGGAAGATATCGAGTATGACGGATCTTAATTTATGGGTGATATTACATTCAGCAAAGTTTAATTAAAATGTGCCAAGAATAAAAAGCTAAATTTTCTGTACGAATACAAAATAATGCTAGCTTTAAAAGCTGGTTAGTTAAAACCCGTGCAATTCACCGTATCTTTACTGTAACTGGATATTTCTTTTATACCATAGTTTTTTTTACTGTTGCCTATAATTATTGAAACTGAATTATTTTTAACCAAACATATATATTTCAAGAGTCTTGATATCATTTCTACAGTAGTTACATTTGAAAGACATTTCCGTCTGTGCACTCCACTTATATTCGAGACGACAAGGATATAAAATACAGTCACATTTTGTTTTAACTGAGCCACTAAAGTCCAGTATTCTTGCTAATCTGTACGTTTTAATGTGATTTTTAGGCAGTTTTACTGATTTATTTATTTTTATTTGCTATTTCATATGCTTAAACTATCTCATTCATCATTTAATGAGCATATTTACATATCCAGCGTGTATCAAATATGAACTTTGAAACTGAGCAAAGTTCGTCTAGTAGGGGTTGTCCGGATGATTTCTAGTCTTTTCGGCCCAAGACCTTTCGGCCCAGTCATATCGGCCATTACCAAATCGGTCACATTTTGAATGATTTTAATATAAGTAAACACATGTTTTATGCTATAATCTGTTTTACACAGTTTTGAGTCTGAAATAGGGCCCCATTCACAAAGTCAAAAATTCACCCATAGATTAGCTTAAGGTCTTCAGCGTACCCGTTTATATACTATGACATGACGTGAACGCTGAAGACAGACCTGTAAGGCGTGTCCACCAATAATCGTGCCAGGAATTTGACATGCTCATATTCATTCATCGAACATGCCATAAAGTAAAGTGAAGCATACCTTGATATAACTATGTATAATCAGTTGATAAGCCAAGGATGGACACATAAAAAACTTATCACGAACATAAACTACCTGATACCTTCGGACAGGTAAAAAATATCAGCATTTGGCTGCCATATTGCAAAATGTTTGACCACCTGATTACGAGATTGACCTTTACGGGTTAATTTGGGCAGACGGTTTAGAAAACAGAACCCCTGAAACCTTGTAGGTAGACAGATCTTATTTTGTAGATATGCAGTGCAGAAGAACCGTAACTCTGTCTTGCGTAATTTTGGAGTTATTACCCTTTGTTAAATTTTGGAGTTATTGCCCTTTGTTCATATTTATATTTTAAACTTTGTCCTAGATATAAATCTTAAACTATAAGAGATATCAATATGAAACTTTGTAGGTAGATAGATTAGATCTAATTGAGCAGAAGTGCAGGTCAAAAGAACTGTAACTCTGTCTTGCCTAATTTTGGAGTTATTGCCATTTGTTCATTTTTGCACTTTGAACTTTGTCTGGGACATAACTCTGGCACTACAAGAGGTATACTTTTCTTTGTCCAAAACATATTCGAGGAGCATCACCCAGTTCAACCGGCTCTTGTTTTTCTTCAGATGGAGTTAGGGGTCAGTTGGGTCAAGGTCACCAGTGTTAAAAATAGGTTTTTACACTTTTGCTCATACAGCCTTTATTTACTGACAAATGTATTTCATATTTGGTAGGAAGATACCTTGCATGGTATTCTTCCTTTGGATGGAGTTGGGGTCAGTGGGTCAAGGTCATCAGTGCTAAAAATAGATTTTTTCACTTTCACATAGTTTTTTTTATTGACAGGTGTATTTCATAGTTGGTAGGGAGAAAACTTACATGATATTGATATATTTTTTTGATTGAGGTAGGGGTCAGTGGGTCAAGGATGCAAAAAAATAGATTTCTAGGCATTTGTTTATACAGCCATTATTTTTTGACATGTTTTTTTTTGTATTTGGTAGGATGATAACATGCATGGTCTTCTTCCTTTGGATTGAGTTAGGGGTCAGTTGGGTCAAGGTCACCAGTGCTGAAAATAGATTTTTTTCCACTTTTGCCCATATAACCTTTATTTATGGAATGATGTTTTTCATATTTTGTTGGAAGATGTTTTTCCTTTCAATTGAGTTAGGGGTCAGTGGTTCAAGGTCAGGAAGGCCAATAACAGATTTCTACATATTTGCTCGAACATCCTTCACACCAGTGAATGACATAGGCTGTATGTCCAATGGAGCTGCATATCATGTCACATACATTGTAAATGTGTAAATTGCAGTCAATTATAGGCAGTAACTGTGTATCACCAATCGAGTTTATTTTATGCCTAGTTTAGAATAGAATAGAATAGAATAATGTTTTATTACCAATCATGGGCCTTCTCAGGCATACAATTACATAAAATATCAGTACATTAAATGTACATAAACCAGGGATTTTTTCCAGGATTTTGGGAACATAACCCATACCCATGGAATTGGGAATTTCAGCGATATTTTGTTAAAAATTGGGGAAAAATGCATGACTGAAATTTTGCAGTGATTAAATGTATGCAAGCAATCACTGCCTAGGATGGCTTCTTCAAACATTTAAACACTATTACAGTGAAGAAGCCCTTATTTTCAAAGATTTTAGAATTCTTTATTAACCCAGGTTTTCCGAAGGAAAAATCTGGTTATTAGATTGAGGTATGTCGGCGGGCGGGCGGGCGTAAACAATTTCTTCTGTGCGCAACTCCTCCTACATTTCTCAACGGATTTTGACCAAACTTTCACAGAAGCTTTGTCATCAAGTGCCCTGGTGCATATTGTCAGGGTTTTGTGATTGGATAACATTTGACCTAATTATGGCCCTTTGTTTTTTTCCCTTATATAGAATATATAGTGAACAATTTCTTCTGTGCGCAACTTCTCCTAAATTTCTCAAAGGATTTTGTTCAAACTTTCACAGAAGCTTTGTCATCAAGTGTCCTGATGCATACTGTTGGGGTTTTGTGATTGGATAATTTTTGACCTAATTATGGCCCTTTGTTTTTTTTCCTTATACAGAATATATAGTGAACAATTTCTTCTGTGCGCAACTCCTCCTACATTTCTCAAAGGATTTTGTTCAAACTTTCACAGAAGCTTTGTCATCAAGTGTCCTGAGGCATACTGTTGGGGTTTTGTGATTGGATAATTTTTGACCTAATTATGGCCCTTTGTTTTTTTTCCTTATACAGAATATATAGTGAATAATTTCTTCTGTGCGCAACTCCTCCTACATTTCTCAAGTGATTTTGTTCAAACTTTCACAGAGGCTTTGTCATCTAGTGCCCTGATGCATATTGTTGGGTTTTTGTGATTGGATAATTTTTGACTTAATTATGGCCCTTTGATTTTTTCCCTTATATAGAGTATATAGTGAACAATTTCTTCTGTTGCCCAACTGCTTCTACATTTCTCAAAGGATTTTGTTCAAATTTTCACAGATTAGCTTTATCTTCAAGTGCCCTGCTGTGTATTGTCAGGGTTTTATGATTGGATAAGTTTTTACCTTTTACCTTATTATGGCCCTTTGTTTTTCCATAAAATTTAATTATTAGTGTAATATATCCTATTAATCACAACAATTTTTATTTAGTTATAAAACAGAAACTATCTAGGTTGTTGCATGCCTGCCAGCTCATCTGCCTGCTTTTGGGCCCTGTAGAGTCATGGTCATTGTTGCTAAAAATAGAAAATCTGTTTCCAGTCAGGTCACTGTTACTAAAAATAGAAAATAGGTTGTCGGTCAATAACTTGTTTGGAATAAGATATTTTTATGAAATTTGTGGTAAAGCAAGTTTTTATGAAGACCTCATTTGGGATGGCTTTTTGGCCTCCTAGGGTCAAGGTTACAGTTACTAAAAATAGAAAATTCATTAATCATGACTTACATTGCACATAGTTACAGTGTTTGTTGCTTGTATTTGTATTTCAACTACAACATATTTATCTACAATGGTGATAATTGAAAACCTGGTTTCGTGGCATTGCCATGTTTCTTGTTCAATATTTATATTTTTGTAACTTTCAATTGGGAATATTTTCCTGTGGATTGGGAAAAAAATATACTATTTTCAATTGGGAATATGACCCAATAACGGCTATAAAATAAGCCAAAAAAAATCCCTGGTTTTAAACAAAACAATAATAACATAACATAAGCTAATTCTGATTTGATAACACAATTAACAAAGGACTAGTAACTATATGCATTCAACAAAGGCATTTTAAATGATAACACATAAAAGAAATAGAATTTGTAAAAAACCTCAACAAATAACTAACCCACAATATCTTTTGAGATGCACATTGACAAAGACTAATGATGTTAATAAATGACTACAATTACTTATTAAGCATAAAAGTTCTATTATTGTTGTACTGTATAAATGTACTTGACTAAAATGACTATTTATACAATCAGCTATTGACCTATAAATGCATATTAACATGATGATTGTTTTACACATATTTGAATGTATTTGATTGTAGTTTATGTTAGGCAAGGATATATATTTTGTTGACAAGACTAGTGTGGTGTGTTATGTAAAGACCTATGCATAACAAAAAAAAAAATCCGAACAAAATAGATGTTATCTGGAACTTGACTAATGTGTGTTTTCCCAAAATTATTCCCTGGTACAAAAAAGCTTTTACAGTTATTATTATAGCTGACCGCCTCCGTGGTCGAGGGGTTAGAGTCGATGACTTCTAATCCAGTTACCTCTCTGGCGTGGGTTTGATCCCCGGGAGATGCTTTGGTAGTTTAGCACGGAGGAAGGTAGTCTAGTACTGGTGTAACTCTCCAGAAACGATGGTTAGGAAACTACCCGCCTATTATATGACTGAAATACTGTTGGGAAAAGGCGTAAAATGAAACAAAAAAAAACTAGGGATGGCAACGTGTAACCGTTTAACCGAGTACTCGGTCGAACGTCCGAATATCGGTTATCAAAATTGATATTCGATTACTCGGAAAAAATATTTAATTTCTACTTTTTTTGCGATTTAAAAAGATTAGTTCGGAAATTCGTATATGTATAAATACTTGTAAAATTCAATCAAAACATCCTTGCAGAGGTGTGAAAATGATATTGTAAAAACGAGGCGATCAGCAGTTTGACACGCGTATGGGATTGAACACAGTCCTGTGTCGTTTATGCATTCGGTCGTCTTATGATATTTAATCACCTTTAAATATTAGACAGTTTGTAGTCGAAACTTATTTATTATAAAAAACGTAAATAGTTATGGACTATTATGTTGTAGCTTTGTATTTTGCTACGAGCAGCGGTGGAAAAATTGATATCTCGCGAGACCGAAGGTCGAGCGAAATATCAATTTTCCAACATTGTGAGTAGAAAAATGCATAGGCTGTAAAAGCTACTGCAACATAATTTTCCTTTTATTATATACATTTTCGTCTAAATTATAAATGATTTTCATTATACTACACTTCTATAAAAAAATTCAGAAAATGACAGAAATGTAGCTGTCAAGAAATAAATTTATGACCGACGGATGAATACGTAATTTTTGCAAAAGCGGCCACGCCTTTTATAATTTTGGTTTCCGTTTTCAAATGCTACGTTTATACACAGCTAAGATCAGAACCAACGTCAAAAATAGTCTGGCAGGTACCGCATTTGTCACTAACATAATATGGAATTTTCTATTCGTTGAAGCATATTTGCGCTTCAAGTTCATCCTGTATTTTAAGGAGAAAAATTTGTAGGTATATGATTAATGCTGTCATTGACATTTCTTATGTTTTTATTTATATATGTATTTCTTGCAGTTCTATTTATAGTTACGAATTCTATGAATTAAAATAGAAAACGAAAGTAGCATGCAGGGGGTGTTAATATTGTGTGATAAAACTTTAAATATCGTTGGAAATTATCCGAGTAACCGAGTACTCGATCGGAACAATGACCGAGTACTCGAGTATTGATTTTGGTATTTGTTGCCATCCCTAAAAAAAACAAACAGTTATAGCTTCACAGAGCACTACTGGACACAATAGATTAGTCATCATATTGAGCTGTGACTGTTAGGGTTTGTACTCCCTGATTAACTTGGAATAAACCAAAATATTTTTATTCCCGCAGTGAGTCTATTCAGGTCAATTTGACCAAGTTTAAGGTCATACACATAGGTCATAGGTCAGTTAATATATTTTTTAATGTGAGTACAGTACTGATCATTCAGTCATCATGCATTGAGAGATTGTGATCCAAGTGCTTACTATTATAACACTGAGCATTTTAATTTGACAGGCGTAATTTGGTGGCAGATTGACACCAATTTGTTTAATTAGATTAATTTTGTGCTCAATTTTAAGCATTATATATATTTTCTTTAGTGAAGGCAGCATTAATGGATCCAAGTCAAGCTGGATATAGATTAGATTGGAGGCTTCCAATACCAGCACCAAGAACAGCTTATCAGAATGAAGTAGCTCAAGGTATATATACACTTTTATTCTGTAAACATAAATAAGTGTACTTACTTTTAGCGTGGCCATCAAAAATTATATATGATGCCATGTTATATATATATTTGAATATTTTTACTGCTACATGTATATATATTCTATTTCTTCTTCAACGTGTTCAAATGATAGAAGAAAGTTTGCCTTAGAAGGAATTATTTTTGCGTGATCAAATATCTGCGAATAATTTCAATTCACAAATATTTCCACGCCGCAAAATTAACCACTTGTACAGTACATGTAATATGACATTTTTTTCATTATTTTAACATACTTTACAGATCTAAGATCCTCATTACCTTATGGTGTTGACTGCATGTTTCACTGTGGAGGATGTTCTGCTTTGTATCCAATGATTTGGCAGCTACATGAACATCTTCAGCTGCACACACCTGGAGGCTCGTACCATTATGATCATCGTACACGTACAGCTTTCCCGAAATATGACACCACTTGCCATGAAACTCAAACTGATTTGGAGTGTGTTGGTAAGACATTTAACCTTGTATGCACAGAGACTCAAACTGAGGAAATTCTGACAGATACCTTGAACAGACAGGATTACACAGAAATGGAAAGCGAGGTAGGAGATGATGAGGTGTCTGTTACTGTTAAGGTAGAGACATCTGAGTCCCAGCTAAATGTTGATAATGGTGAAATTTCCAAAAATGAAGGTTTAGACAATGATGTGAAAGTTCCAATATTGACACCGGATGATCCTTATTCAGGAGATACAGATGAGGGATCCAATCCTTGGTTCCCGGATTCTAATGATGATGAATATGTATCCTCTGAGGGTCAGAAAGATATTGACAACACCAACAAATTAGTTAAAAACATGATAAAGAATATGAAAAGTTTAAATTCTAAATCATTAAAGAATAAGGTGAAGGAGAGAAAACAAAAAGGAGCAAGGAAAAAACAGATATTAAAGTCAAATAAAAAAGATGCAATAAAAAATAGAAAAAGAAAGGTCAAGAAGGAAGATTATTTAGAAACAAAAAAACCTCCTATACAATGTAAATATTGTAACAAGTATTTCCAAAACAGCTTACATGTAAAACGCCATTGCCTTCAAGAACATCCTCTAGAAAAGAATTATAAATGTAGATATTGTGATGAAGCGTTTGTTACTGAAGCAGAAATATCGAAACATCGGAAAATTCATCTTCGTGAGAAGTATGAGTGTCATATATGTAAAAAACATTTGTCATCAACACAAAATCTTCAAGATCACATAACTATGCATACAGGTGAAAAAATGTTTGAATGCAAAGATTGCGGAACTTACTTTAGGTAAATCTATTTATGTATACCGTAAAATTCCTAATAAACGCCCCTCCCCTAATAAAAGCCCCCCCCCAGGCTTTTTGATATGGAAAAAAATCTGCTCATGAGTGGTGAACTCTTTAATAAATCCGTAATTTTATTCAAATCCTTCAGAATCCATTTTATTTCATAGTAAACACAAAAATGTATCACATGAACTTTAAAATCTTAACACATTTTAATGTTATTACCAACCCATGTTACACTAAATGTATTTTCAATGATTTTTGGATTTAGGAAAAACGTGTTGTAATAATAGCCCCCCTTTTGGAAAATGTTTAGCCCCCGGGGGCATTTAATAGGAATTTTACGGTAGGTTTTCTATTTGTTCTGTTTGAATTTGAGTAGCTTTTTCAATGATGAAATTGAAATTTGAAATTCCTTAAGATCTTGTTTGTTAAATGAGTGTATATGACTGTATTTCCTTTGTTATTTATAAGTCAACTGAAGAAGCCAAATAAAACAAAACATGTATTGACAATTATTTATTGGTATATGATTTTATTCATCATATATCACATATTGAAATTTATTTTTCTTTGTGACTTGGTTCATAATTAGGTATATGAAAATTTGTAGTTTTGAAATGGAAAAGACTTTTTAATTTACATAAAACTTTGTCTGATTATTTTTTTCAAATTAATCAAAATGTGATCTTTTAACATACGTATTTGATTTTATTGTTTTTAGGAGTAGGAGTCAGTTGAGTTTACATGTTAGCAGACGACATAACCCTAATTTTGATCACATGTGTGAAAACTGTGGGCGTGTGTTTAAGTGCCGTCAGAATTTGAAAGGTCATATAAAAATTTGTTTAGGTAAGTAACAAATCATATAATGTTTTATTAAGGATTCCAAAAGGGAAATAAAAACTTACAGTATAAGATTTAACTGTTAAAGACAATGAGACGGTGTTATCTGTTTTTTGTTGCTGATTTATTATACCCCCAAAAACGAAGTTGGGGTGGGGGGGGGACCGGGTATATAGGAGTCACCCGGTGGTCGGTCGGTTGGTCGGTCCAGATGTCCGTTGCATTTTCCATGTCCGGAGCATAACTTGAAGACTAATGGTTGGAATTCAATATAACTACATACAATGGTCAAGTACATTGAGAGGAAGTGCAGTGCACAAGAACCATAATTCTATCTTGACTAATTACAGAGTTATTGCCCTTTGTTACTTTTCCTTGTCCGGGGCATAACTTGAAAACTACTGGTTGGAATTAAAAACAACTTCATACAATTGTCAAACACAATAAGGAGAAGTGCATTGCACAAGAACCATAACTCTATCTAAAGAAATTACAGAGTTATTGCCCTTTGTTACTTTTCCATTGCATTCTTTTGTCTGAACCATAACTTAAAGACTTATTGTGAAAATTCATTATAACTTCATACAATGGTCAAGCACATTGAGAGGAAGTGCAGTGCTCAAGAACCAAAATTCCATCTTGACTTATTACAGAGTTACTGCCCTTTGTTACTATTCCTTGTCCAGAGCATGACATGAAAACTATTGTTTGGAATTCAAAACAGCTTCATACAATGGTCAAGCACAATCAGCGGTAGTGCAGTGCACAAGAACCATAACTCCGTCTTGACTAATTACAGAGTTACTGCCCATTGTTATTTTTCCATTGCTTTTTTGTCCGGAGCATAACTTGAAAACTACTAGTTGGAATTCAATATAACTTCAAACAATGGTCAAGCACATTGAGAGGAAGTGCAGTGCACAAGAACCATAACTCCATCTTGACTAATTACAGAGTTATTGTCCTTTGTTACTTTCCCTTGTCCAGAGCATAACTTGAAAACTACTGTTTGGAATTCAATACAACTTCATACAGTTGTCAAGGACATTAAAAGGATGTGCAGTGCACAAGAGCCATAACTCCGTTTTGACAAAATACAGAGTTACTGCCCTTTGATACTTTTCCTTGTCCGGAGCATAACTTAAAAGGTACTGGTTGGAATTCAAAACAACTTCATACCATGGTCAAGCACAATAAGAGGAAGTGCAGTGCACAAGAACTATAACTCCATCTTAGTATTTATAGAGTTATTGCCCTTTGTTCCTTTTCCTTGTCTTTCTGGACTCAATAAAACTTCATCAAAGGCCAACCACATTGAAAGGAAATGCAACATACAAGAACCACAACTATCTTTAATTGCCCACAACCATAACTCTATATTTCAATTCTTTTACAAGGTATTCTGTTACTAGTAACATCCTCATTTTCGAAGCAGTCTTGTGGGGGTATTAATCACATTTAGTGATAGTTCTAGTTTTTATTGATAAATGCTGGCCATTGGTCTATTTACTTGTATTAGTTTCAGATTAAAGATAAAAGCTAGTTCTATAGTTATAGTTTGTTTGAATACAGTGGATGTGAGAAGTTTTGTTTTCTCTTGACATAAACTAATTTTATTTAAAAAAAAAATCCTGATTTTAATGATAATAAATTAAAAGCAACACGCCTCCAGATTCATGCTAATTTTCAAGAAAATTTTGAAAATGTATAATATTGTGAAATAACCCAAAGGAAGCCATTTACATAATATCAATGGCACTTACAAGCCATGTAAATTACCAAAAAGTGGTCAAAATATGCATAAATAGCCCTTACTGCATTAGTAACGCAGTAGAAATATAGTTGTAAATGCTTAAAAATCAGTCACAAACTGCACATAACATGTAAAATATTACTGGAATCTTGAACCATTTTACGTTTGATTTTATCGAAATATTTTGACTCATCTGGAGGCATGCAGCTTTAAATGTTTGAAAGCTTACAATCGTAATTTCAAGTCTATATGATCAGTATTTACCCAAACAAGCTCTATACTCATTGTGGATCAAATTGAGCATCTGAATGCTGCAATCCTGTTTTTACTTATGATCTTTTCCCAATTAAAAGTGAAGCAAGCCCAATACACAAATTCAGGAGTGTACCGGTAAATGTTTAAATTTAAGATACATTGAAACATTTTGTCTGTTTCAGATATCAGACCATTCCCTTGTGAAATTTGTGGGAAAAGATTTCCACGTAACACAAATTTGAATGTACATATGAGAAAACATACAGGAGAGAAGCCTTTTGTTTGTCATACATGTGGTATGAAGTTCATGCACTCTAATACACTTACCAAACATATGTTGGTACATACTGGAGAGAGGAAGTTTAGCTGTGATATCTGCGGAATGGTAGGTTTTATTACATTATTTACTTACAAGCATAATTGCTTAGCTAAATACGGAGAGCATTGGATTTGTAATGCAGGGGTGGCTGGTTTGATTCTTGAGCAAGGCGTAATTTATCTGTGATGTTTGATCTCAAACACTGAGTCTAATGTTTACTTGTCTCTCACTTTTGGTTATGACAAACATGTTGGATAAGTCGTCAGTCATTTCTGGAGAATTTGGTCATTACTGTTAGTTAACTTGAAAGAGTTAAGTAAATGACTGGACAGCCAGTTTGGTGGATTGACCACAAAGATATGACCAAAAGTATGTTGAATTTGGAGTAAAACCAAAGAATTAATAATCATCCCATTTTCATTGTTGATCAACAAAAATGATGCAAGAGCTGGTTTTGATAAGTTGTCAGTAATTTATTGCATTTATTTTATGCTTTTCAGTGGATTACTGATTTATCCGTGAAAATTATATTTGATAATTTCACAGTGAAAATTATCAAAATATAATTTCACTTTTTTCAATGACGAAACTACTTTTTTAAGATTTTCCCCATGTGGTACCTCAATTTTATTTTTGCTGACACTTCTGACAATATCAGGCTGTTTAAAGAAAACGCAAAGCTGAAATTGATAATCAACTTAAACGTCAAAAGTAATAAAAAGAAGAAAACTTACTTCTATTCATTCAAATTCCAATCACCAAATTTCATCTCTAAATTTTTTGTTTCATTTTTACAGTCTGACAAATACATTCCTTCCACATGCAAACTGCTCTTGATGACATTTGGGCACATTAAAGTATCCTACGAGCAATAACTGCTGTACGCTTTATGAAAAATTGAAAAGCAATGACAGCTCTCACCTCGTAGAACAATTAAACCACCCAGCGTTCCGAGCAAGCTTCCAAGTTTTCCATTTTCCAAGCTCCTTTTCTGAATGTTTTCACATCTGTCAACACTTATTTTTTGTCTGTTTCAATCCTCAAATATGTTTTCTTTCTTTTAAAAAGGTGTATGACTAACAAATCCAAATGATATCCCTCTGAATAAAACACAATTATTTTCCTCCCGTGAAATACACAACTTTAAAAAATGGCTGCCGCTTACATTTAACAAAGCCAGGTCTAATATAAATACGCAGTAAGTTACAGAAATATGGATGGATGGTTGGAATTTTTCTCCTACAAGAATTGTTTGTTTTTATTATTAAAACAAGCGATCATTCATATTTTTTTAACAAAATAAATAATATCACTGTCATTTAACGTTGATTGTCGGACTTATTTTACAGCTCAAGACTTCTTGTTTTTAATGAGAAATTCCGACTAAAAGGGGCTCTCAATGGGGAAAACAGATTTTAATATTTACATTTATATTATGGAAATTTCGTTTTAACTTGTTTTTTAGCATAAAATAAAAAGAAAATTTGTTTGTTTGTTGTGTAAGATTTAATTTTATTTCATCTCGTGAACTTTAAAAACAGTATTCTCACTCGTGGCTACGCCACTCGTGAGAATACTGTTTTTAAAGCCCACTCGATGAAATAAAATTTCATCTTACACACAAACAAACAAATATCCTCTATGTATTAATTAATGTATCAATGTAAATAATCATTTTGTCATCATAGTATCTGTTAAACTTGTTGCAAATTAACCTATGACTAATAGTGGATATAAGGAACCTACTCTACCAGTATAAGTCTGTCTGCATATCAACATGCCTGGTAGTCGTACATGAAGTGTTTGCTAAATAACAGTATTTTGACATTGAAAACAGTAAATTCAATAAAACACAATTCTAAATTGAAAAGAATACAATATTTTTGGGGGAAAAATATAGTATGTCAAGGGTAAAAACAATCACCTTGGAAAAATTCTTCCCATCAGGACATTTTATGTTTATACCAATGTTATTTTCAGAAATTTAAAGCTCACAATGCGTTGAAGGATCATATTCGTATACACAATCAGGAGAAGAGGTTTACATGTCAGTATTGTGGTAAAGGGTTTATAAAGAAGTGTAACATGGTGACACATATCAGACAACACACTGGAGAAACACCATACAAATGCCATGTAAATTTTCTCTCATATAAAATATTACTTATATATTGTAATAAGCATTGTTTTTCATCAGTTAAAGGTCAAATGTCGTAGAAGATCACTAACATAGATCGTCCAGTGCTATATCTGTTCATTCTTGGAATGTAGAGAAAACTTTTTATTTAGCACTATGAAAAGTGTTTTGCATCACAACTTAACTTTACTGATCAGTTCTTTCATTCTCATAATTTTAATGATGTTTTGCTGTTCAGTAGATATTTTTGTCTCCAAGAGAGATGTACTGAGTTTTGTTGTTGCAACTTTGTATGTTCTTCAAAAAATCAAACAGCATTTAATTGTACAATCAAAACAGCTTGTCATGGTTAAAATCTTTGCCTCTGTGTAGACAACATGGGTATAAGCATTAATGAAGCAACAACATACAGCACTATCATGGTTAATCCAGGAAGCTACTTGTACCTGGAGTAAAATATCTGTATGGCAGAATTGCAACAACCAAAAATTTAGCATTTTAACCCTTTATTAATATGGGTTTTTTTAACCCTTAACCTGCAGAAATCAGCAATGGTTAGCCCTTGCTACAAAGTCTGACTATACTTTACACTGTTGGCTGATCAGCTTCAAATTTTCATACTGACATCTTAAAATTGTTAACGTATACATGTAGTTCCAAAAATTGTAAAACTGACATGTCCATTTTTGAATTTCAGTCAGTAAGGATTATTTTTGGAGAGTTAAACTGTATTTGAGCCGTGTCACAACAAAACCAACATAGTGCGTTTGCGACCAGCATGGATCCAGACCAGCCTGCGCATCCGTGCAGTCTGATCAGGATCCATGCTGTTCGCTTAACAACCCTTTTACAAGTAGAGAAACTGATAGCGAACAGCATGGATCCTGATCAGACTGCGCAGATGCGCAGGCTGGTCTGGATCCATGCTGGTTGCAAACGCATTATGTTGGTTTTGTCATGACGCAGCTCATTTGTATTTTACAGATTTGTGGACAAGGATACAAGCAGAATGTTTTACTGCGAACACACATGCAAACTCATAAAAATGAGCCACCAAACATTCAGACAGATTCACACCAGCAACCTTCATCTCCGCCATCACAGCATATCATGACATCACATCAACCCTCACAGTCCATGCCAGCTATGTTGTCGAACGCGCTAACACAGCCCACCTCGCACCATGATGTACCTGGCTCAATAGCTCATCTAACGTCCCAACAGGATATGACTAATGCACTCAATCATTCTACACTTGACCATGATCTGACCAAGTCAGTCCCAGGAACAAGACCAATGCAGCAGGTGGAATCTGGCCCACTTCATTCACAGCCTCCGTCGGAACATATTGACAGATATGGTTATATGATGCCTAGAATGTAAAATACAAGCATTGTGCTACTTTTTATATAATTTTCAACAGAGCCTATGATTCAAATATCAATTTATAGTTATGATTTACGTTAATTATTTACTTATAAAGCATTATATTTTAAGCACATATAAATGCATATGTATCTTGACTGATTTTACTAATTTACATTGAACATAATTATATAGTGATAGAATGAAATATTTTTCATGTATGTAATGCTGATTGTTAACCATGTTAGTGTTTCTTATATATTTTTATTCTCATGTTAATATCATATTCCTGTTATTTTTACAATATTTCACATGTCTACTGTTATTCATTAAAATGCTTTTAAGTGGATGTTATTATACCATCACCACATGGGGTGGGAGGCCCATTTTTTGCCAATTTGCCCTGGTTCATCCCACTGTTACACTGTCAGTAGACAGGTTTGTGCCACTTGTAACAAAAGTTATAACTGTCAGAGTCTTAAAAGTTTCTAAGAGTAGTTACACACACCTGGATATTTTGACACAAATTTATTTTAGATTGGCAGAGTTATGCTCCCAAATTTTACAAATTTGTGTCATGATTTTAAAATATTACGCTAGAGCAGTGCTTCTTAATAGGGATATGTCATCAATTGAATGAGTTTAAAAGAATATTTAGAGTTTAATATTAAATATTTTGACATCAATTGACCAAAAGTATTAAGAGTTTTTTTAGTTATTTGATTTCCATACATTTCGTATAATTTAGAATCATAGTATATTTTGAATTTTAGTTTCTTTAAATTACAGAAAAAACATTTTCAACATTAATGAGTTAATTCATACCAGTGCTTTGTAATCATTCTCATAGTTATATATTTGATACCCATTTGTATCTTTTACTGGAATGTTATTTACCAATCTATATAACAATTTTTTTAAGCACATATGACCTGTAAGCATTCCTTTTTGTGCAGTGTATTTACATTTTGTATCTAGTGATAATGCATTTGACTGTCCTGTGTTTTTATTAGGGGAATAATATATGTTAGAATTGAAACTATATCCTGACCTATACATGTAAATATCTGAACATATTTTGCTATTACTGATTTTTTTCCAGATATGTAAGAGATCAAAGATTGTTCATCTGGTTTATCTGATATATAACACATACATGTACAGTAAACTTCACTAATAGCGGACATGGTTATTGCAAACTTCTGGTTATAAGGGACACTCTTTTTTGGGGCCCGAATTTTTCCCTTCTTTAATTATTATAAAGATATACGGTTATAGCGAACACAGTTATAAGGAATTATCGCTCATAAAGAACTCATTGTTTAGCCCCAATTAAGTTAAAGTACAGAAAATTACGCGTTTATTATGAACTCACAAATATCGGCTGTCTGTCAATAGAACCTGCATTTTCTACTTTTGTTTAAACTGGCATTTTATAATTTGCGTTTAAACTGTACAGTTTATTGTTGTATGTACTTCAATACAGCTATTAAAATTTTGTATAGCAGTTCTATTGCATGAGTTCTTGTCAACAAGATAAAAAGATTATTCATTTTATTCCATTATTTCTTTTCTTTAATAGTTTTTCTTTTTTCACGAGGAAAAAACTATGATCATTTATAATCGGATTTCAAAATACATATATATACTCATGCTATTTCTTGAGAAGAACCCACCTCCATGGTCGAGGGGTTATGCTATTTCTTGAGAAGAACCCACCTCCATGGTCGAGGGGTTACAGTCGATGACTTATAATCCAGTTACCTCTTTGGCGTGGGATCGATCCCTGGGAGATGCTTTGGTAGTTAAGCACAGAGGAAGGTAGTCTAGTACTGGTGTAACTCCATATCGATGGTTAGGAAACTACCCGCCTATATGACTGAAATACTGTTGGGGAAAAGGCATAAAATGAAACAAACAAACAATGAGAAAAATCCATTGAAAAAGTACAAAGTATGTTTGACTGAAATGAAATGAAATCTATTTCTTTCATAAGTAAAAGTCTTAGTTCAAATATAATAAATGTTCATTATAAAAAGGAAGGAAAAATATTCTTTATGATGGAAAGAAAACGAAAAGCACCGAGTTTAGAAACAAAATATGGTATTTTACGACAAAATGAGAAAGGGAGTAAACAATGGAGAACCCAAATCAAATGCTCTTCAAAATAAAGAATGATGGTAAACAATCAGTTTGTTATATGTAAATCTGTTTGCTATAAAAACTCCTGATAAAAGGAACTAATTCGCTATATGCTTACAAGAAACTCTGGATATAAGGAACAGATTTGAATGTCCCAATGAGTTTGTTATTGGATTTTACTGTATATATATGTAGAAATTGGTCATATTAATGTAATATATGAATGTATAATAGATACAATGTATTTATCTTATAAGATGTGCTTTTACAAATATTTTAAATTTTGAATATTTATTTCTTGGTTGGTTTTAAGTGGCATTGGCACAGTTAAAAACTTAAAATTATTTGGCTATTTTTTAAGGCCACAATTTATGTTATTTCAGGGCCAAGTGAGTTTTTGAGATAACCTTCAAATTATGTAATCTTCCTTGATATATATATTATAGAAATTTCATATGTCCACTGAGGCTAAAGAACTGTTACAAGATATATGAGATTCTTAACTTTATGTGGTTGCACATTTAGATTTTATCATATGTTAGTTGTTACTGTGTATATGTTGAACTTTATACATGTATTAACCATAATGATTTACCTTAATTGAACAAATCTTTTTTAAACAGAGTTGGTATTCATTTTCCTGTTATAGTAGACTTAAAACTTATAAGTTCTTATCTTAAACATATTTTGTTTCAACGATACTGATCTTGAGGAAATGATACCACTTTTAGTTTGTTAATGTATTTCATTTATGTACCATCTACAAAGTTCCATTTCATCCCATGCATATATATCAAACAAAGAGCAAACAGGATATGTGGGAGGTCTATTGTATTAACCTTCCGCCTGTCAGTCAACATTACTTTATTGAAGCTTTGAAGGATGTGGTTTTTTTCATTAATTACATTTATTGATGATCTTGTGGCTATTAATGCTTTGATTTTGCAATTGTTGATATAAACGTTCAAGTTCAGTCTTTGCAATTGCATGTAATTTACAGAGGGTCCATATATTTCATTTTCACTGTCATTTTTTTCATTATCACTTTACTTTGAGAATTATCATTCAGTTTGTATGTGAAATCTTTTATCCTTTTATCTTTGAGAGTTATACTGCTTCAGACTGGTTTTTTCTTTGAGCAAAATGTGCATGTTTTACCCCACTGGTTGGGAATGTTCCCGATTTATGAGGATATTCATAACCGCAGTATCTTAATGTTGTTTTTCTTACTGATGTGGTCAGGTCATTACCTACTTATTTGTTTGTTTTTCTCCTAGTAATGTTGTCATAACATTTACGGAGTTATGTTTTGCTTGATTTTCAATTTTAGATGCTGGTTAGTCCGATAATTCTAGTGTTCTTGCTTCTTTAACGAAATTGTCCAATGTCAGGTAATTGTGCAGTGCCTTGAGATGCAGTCATTTTGGTATGCAGTTTTGAATGATTTGTAATGTAATTTCTCTGTGTTCCAAACTTTGCAGTTCAGGCCTAATTGTTTCAATCATATGAGGAATATATCAATGTTTTCATCAGCTTCCTATTGTGTCTGTAAACATTTTTTAAAATTTTAAAATTCTGATTTTTTCTTTGAAGGAAAAGTATTCTGTCTACATAGTTTTTGTTGTTTGTAGTTACCCCAGGTTTTTAATGTTTCAAAAATGTCATTTACTTCTTCCCCTTCATAGTGGAGAGAAAAGAGAGCTCTGATTTTTTTGTCTCTTTATGTCATTTTAATAACGGTTACATCTTATTTGTTCACTCAAAGGGTTTCACCACAATGAATGGAAAAAACTGAATATTGAGTTTAAATTGTCACTTTATGTTTTATTCGGGGACTTTGGTTGCGTTTTTTACAAAATTTTATTAAATTGCTTTTTATTATCAAAAGTGTCTGTCTTTCAAACAGGGCTCAAAGAGAGTTCTGAGATTGTGCATATCTAATGAAGTATCTCTAAATACTAACAAATTTATATGCACCCCTAGATTAGGTTTAGGGTCCATGTAATGGTAAATAGAGCAGGAGAACAAAAATACTTAATTATGTTTCACTAAAATGAGGGGCTTTAGCATTCTATTATAACATATAGAATTATATCAAAACATATGTAACAGCCAATCTTCTTTTATGCTTTTCAGTCTCTTACGCTTTTGTTAAGGTAAATCTTTAACATAGCTAAAAGACCATTAGGGGAAGAAAACCACTTAGCTATCCATTTGTGAGAATGTTGAATAGTTTGTTCAGAAATCTGAATCCTTTGATAACTTTACAGGTGGCTAAATTGATTTTACAACATGATTGTCCATTTCTATATGCATGAACAATATGGAGTGGCATTTTGTTCATATTTCAATTTTACTATTGTTTATTTTTTACATGTGTTCATTAATACTTTATTTGTAAAGAATATTGTATTTTAAATGCATATAGTAGAACTTTTATCTGATTTCTAAATAATTGTTATTTTTTTATCACAATATGTTGCTATGGTAATGGTGAGCCTTGTTTTGTATATGCTTGTTACCTAGATAAACATTTCAAAGACCTTTAATTGTTAAATTTATATTCTTTATATGTATATAGCTACTACAATGAATTTAAAAAATAACATATTATATACAATATTAAAATCTATGAATAAATGGAAATTGTGCTTCTTTATTTTGACATATAAAAATGTATGTAGCTCATTGTTATCCCTTTAATATAATTTTGGCATTGTTAATCTTCATCTACGTTTAAACCAGTGTCCTGTCAAAGAAACATTTTCGTATATTTTGAAAAGTAAAACACGTTTGGAAAATTCTTTGTAATTTGTTTTAAATATTTGGACTTGATGAATGCATTCCCAGGAATTTTTTGAATATTGTATTCCTTAAAATATTACTTTGTAAGCAAAACTGGTCAAAACATTTCACTGAAAAATTAACTCAGTAAAATCATACAGATCTAATAATTTTGCGTAGTAATTTAAATTTGAGTCTTAATTTTGATGAATACATACATTGTACTTGATTGTGCATTGCATAATTAGAAAAAAGATTATTATTTAAGTGGCTTTTGTTCCTTCTTTTCTTGTGTTTATTTCATTTTATCTTGCGTCAAAATACGTTGTTGTGTTACATAAGTAGTACCTTGACATTACATTCCTCTCAAAAACATAAACTTTTTCATGTTACTTATTACATGCACCAATACCAAATTTGATATAAGCCTTAGTTCTAGAGTTTATGTCAAAAAGGTGATGAATCCATTGAAATCTATTTTCACGTGTGAGGAAATGCTTCTTTTCATGACTATACTTGCGAAAATTTAATACAAAAAGTCGATATGTTTTTATTCATTAATTTATTCGTTACAAATCAATGCATTGATGATTTCAAGTAAGAGTTATCAGGTTTGAATCATTTTCCTCCAAACATATCATCCGTCAGTAAACCAGAATGCTTGCCCTTTGGTATAGGACAACAATAATTAGTTTTCATGCACTTGAAATTTTTCCACAATTTGCATCATCGTTGCAATAAAGAAATTGCCCATTTTCACCCATTTTAGGAATTGTATCTCTACCTGTGCACCTGAAGCAAACGTGTACTGCTAATGAAATAAAGAAGAAATAAATAGATTCCATAAATAAATAGAAATATTGTTGCTAAAAGCAATAAAGAAAATCACACTCTAATCTCACCATAGATATTGCATTTATTCAGGAATCTGTCTCTTTGGCAAGACTTACATTACTGATTGTATCTTCAAATTTTCCGTCTCTAAAATCTGTTTCAAAACATTTATTTGACAAGATTTGCTGATGTTCATGGTCATATATACGGATGATTACCTTTAACTAGACAAAGACCATGACGATTCTACATATGGTGATGCTAATTATTTGTTATGTCAAATAGACTTAAGAATTCATAAAAAAGTTTTTTTTATACCCCCGCCTCTCTTCCTCGCCTCCCCTTTCCAAACACAAATGTTTAAAGCTAAAAATTCATAACTCAGTTCAAGTTTGCTTAAATTTGAAGTTATTGGTCTTTGTCTTTTTTCAAAATTTTTCTTTAGCATAATGTTAAGTAAATATGATGTGCCATATTGAAATCTCGTTAAACCCTTTTGCCAAACGGCATGTGGTATCTTAGGACAGGTTATGGTTAAGTTATTTCAAAATGAAGGAGTCTTACAGTCGCAAATCACTGTGTATTGACATTCCAAATTTAAACTTGTATAACTTACCTCTGCAGACAAAATTGTTGCAGGGATTTTCCCCAACATTGGCATCAGTGATTGCATTACGGTTTGAGCACACACAAATACCTTCGTTTTCAGTCCCACAAGGCTGAAAAACAATGACAAATTGACCATATTGTACTTGGCAGTTCCATTAAATTTAAGTTTCTCATGTTGCTATGAAACCCCTCGAGGGAACTTACATGTATTTAGAAGTGCACGAATACACATTTTTACCAAGCTGTGGTATGGTAGTGGCTAGAGGAAAATGGTTATAAAATAGATACTTTTTTCAAACCTGCATACAAGACGCATTAATTGATATTGTCCTTTAATTCGAATACATATCGAAATCGATAGCTGCGATGTGCATGGGGGCCTGATAAATCACTCTTGCTGTTTTTTTCTCAACCTTTTAGTCAAGCATAGTTGTCACGTGCATCTTGCATTGTGCCAGGCACAAGCACAAATAGCGATGAGGGGCAAGTGGTTTAACCACTCCGCCACGGACATCCCTGGCTGTTGGGTGATTTGGAAAAAAGCTAAAATGGTTTGAATAAAGAATTGAAAAATCTTTTCATTCTATCAGTTTTAAACAAGAGTAAAAAGCAAACAAAAAACATTTAAACAGAGTCCAATAATCACAACTTACATCATAGAATTGTTGCCCTCAAATAGACTTGCGTTTGCAGTTATCGTTTGGATAATTGTCTGAAAATAAGAAAGTAACATTAAACCATACATGGCGCATTTGTGCCTACAGTTAAACACTTGTCGATCGCGTTAATTATCGGTCGACCTTTTTTATTTTTTGCGTAAATATTGTTGCAGAACAACTTTATACATGCATATACGTATGAAAAATAACATATTATAATACAATATTATTGTAGTTTATTTATTTTAAAATATGAATAAGTGTAAAAATATGATTAAGTTTAAACATATGAATAAGTGCAAAAATATGAATAAGTGAACAGAATCAGTAAATGTAGAAATATTAAAGAAATGTAAGTATGTTAAAAATACCAATGCCAGCAGAATAACTACGAGAACTCGATCCATTTTCTATTACAGATTGCGCAGATGGCAATATCACAGGGTTTTAAAGTCCAAAACTACTAAATACTAAAACAAATGCATAGATATGCTAATATTTCAGCTCATATCTATATATAGAAAAATTGATATATCTGCACAATCGAACATAAATATATAATGTTTTAAGCGACACGTCACGTTTATTTTACGATAGCACTGTCATACACCGGAAGATCCCGAATTACCCGGACTTTGTTTATAATAACTGATAAATTTCATGTTTTCTCCATTAAATTTATATCTGCCCAAAAATTGATGTTTCATCTATTTGATTACAAACTATTTTTGATATAATGACACCAAGTTCCATCTCAGGCCACTTCAAAAAGCTCAAAAACCAAGACGTAAGTTTAAATTTTATAATACACCAAATAGTCTGGTACAAAAATGAAACTGGTCTTAATTTTTGTCGAGTTTGGTATAAAACGTAAACCCCCAAAAATGTCATCCTATAATTTCTCGTCATTTTAACATTGGGTTATTGTGTAATCCTTTTTCAACAGTTTGTAGTTGCAACGTTTATTTATTCGAAAATGTCGTCATTAAAATAAAAACACTTTTGGCTTTTTTGGCTTAAAGAACATAAAAAGAACACTGCTTTGCTGTCCGTTTGTGAAAATGGTGAAATCTGAATCCTTTGTGGCTAAATTGATTTTCCAACAATATTGTCCATTTCCATATACAGGAATAATATGGAGTGGCGTTTTGTTCAAATTTTTTATTTCAATTGTACTATTGTTACATTTTTACATGTATTCAATAATACTTTATTTATAGAGAATATTGTATTTTAAATGCATATAGTAGAACTTTTATCTGATTTCTTAATAATTGTTAATTTTTTATCACAATATGTTGCTATGGTAATGGTGAGCCTTGTTTTGTATATGCTTGTTACCTATACATGTATTGACATTTCAAATACTTTTAATTGTTAAATTTGTATTCTTTATATGCATATAGCTACTACAATGAATTTAAAAAATAACATATTATATACAATATTAAAATCTATGAATAAATGGAAATTGTGCTTCTTTTATTTTGAACATATCGTTGTTCATTGTTATCCCATTTATATAATTTTGGCATTGTTAATCTTCATTTACCTCTAAAATCAGCGTCCTTTTAAAGACAACTTTATACAAATTGAAGTATATTTAGTAATATATGTGAACTCGGGGTTAGCAAATCTGAAAGGCGTCACTTCAGTCATGATGCCTTACCAATTTAAAAGACAAGCCAAAAACTCTTGCATCTGTATTTTAACCCATTACTTCATGAGCATTTTGTGAAAAATGGCTGTTTTCCTTGAAAAGTCTCCCGTTACAAGTTCAAATTGCTATAATACTATAAAAACTGCTTCAACACTAATCAAACTTGGCACAAATGTTGACTGGACCATTGCCCTTGCAACAACATGCTCAGACTTAAATTTTCTGTTACCATGGCAACGAGGGGACATCTCAAAATTGCCAAATATCATTATTTTGCGTTGATTTTTTCCATCAAAATTGATTTCAAAGTGCTGCAACTTCTCAATGGATTGAGATAGAGTCAGATGCTTTTCAGCGTTGGTTACACGTTACCTTATGATCAATCTGGAGTCATTTATAGCCTCCCACAAGTCCAAAATTTTCTTGGCGATGAGGGGGACTCCGCCCCCTTCAAACCCCCAAACAGAAGGGGGCACACCCCCTTCTGCCAACCCCTTGATGTATCTTTTGGTTGGGGGGCCGCGCCGAAAAAGTGGCCACTTTTTTAACAACATTTCTCAAACAAACAACAAGTGTTGGGGGCCTAAATAAGGCATTTTTTCACCATTTGAGACATCAAGGGGGGGGGGGTGAAAAAGGCGTTAAAAGGCGTGTATATCGCGTAGTTTCCCCCCTTTGATATGTTACTTTCTTTTATTTTACTTTTCCATGATTAAAGGATCTACTGAAAGTTTTCATCATCATCAGCACCATACATGTAGATGATGTACTCTTGCACATTTAATTTTTGAATGTTTCCTTTAGCTCTGAACATAATGGTTAAAATCAGTATTTTAAAATTATCATCGCTACTGATATGTTAATTAGAGATGGTACAGCGTAAATGTACTGACTTCTACCTTATACATGCAACATAATGGTATTAAGTAGCGGTAAAAATCGGTACACATTAAAGTCAAATGTTGAGGAAATACAAATAATATTTTTTACTTGCTCACTAAAATTAAGCGGTAAATAATTGTGACGTACATTTTACAGCACCGACATTATAAAGACGAACGGCAATACAATGTAATCCCAATTTTAAATTTTTTTTTATACTTTTAGTTTAGACTTTGGGTTTTTTTTTCTCTAAAAAATTTCCTCTTTTTGCAAAAATTTTTACAAAAATTTAATATTTTTCCCCAACATTTTCCTACCACTAATTTTACTAACCCATCAGAAACAAAAACAGCCCGGGAAGGGGAAATTTCAAAACTTTTTTGTGCATTGCATAAAGAAAAGATTATTTTTTAAAGTGGCTTTTTTTCCCCTTCTTTTTTGGGGTTTACACTGAAAGGGGAACAATAACTTTGTCTTGTCTGTCAGACCAAAAAATACCTATTGAATTATTTTTAAAGGGGCCCAATGACATTACGCAGAAACCAAAAGAACAAAAAATCATATGCTGTAAAAATCCATTAAAACAAATAAAAAAAAAAAAGAACTGGCCAAATTTTTTTCATTTGTTTTCCTGCGTCAAAATATTTGTTGTGTTAATAATTTAACCTAAAAGATACTTTTTCTCAAAAAAATAAAAATTTTTTTTGGGTTTTTCTTAGAATTTTTTACATGCTCCCAAACCCCAAAATTTGATATAAGCCTTATTTTTTAAAAGTTTATGAAAAAAAGGTGATGAATCCTTTTCCAAATCTATTTTCAGTGTGAGGAAATGTTTCCTTTTTTCATGACCAAAATGACTATACTTGCAAAAAACTCAATTTACAAAAAGTCGATATGTTTTTTAAATTTAATTTTTTTTCTTTTACAAGTCAAAAACTTTTGTTTAAAATTCAATAAAAAGTTTCAGATCAAAGAAAAGAGTTCCCAAGGTTTAAAACCTTTTTCCATAGGGGACCACCCTTCAGAATAAACCAAAAGGGCTTCCCCCTTTGGGTTTTTTTTGGTAAAAGGACAAAAATAATTATTTTTTTCTTTGCATATGAAATTTTTTCCAACAATCTCATTTTCTTGCAATAAAAAAATTTTGCCTAATTTTCACCCATTTTGGGAATTCATTTCTACCTGTGGAACTAAAGGGCACACGTGAAACTGAAATGAAAAAAGAAAAAATTTACATGTAAAAAAATTTTCTTTTAGTAAAAAAAAATATTGGTTGTTTAAAAGCAAAAAGGGGGAAAATAAACCAAATTTATTCCCCACAGATTTTTGGAATTTTTTCAGTAAATCTTTATCTCTTTTGGCAAGACTTCCCATTACTGTTTGAAATTTTACTTTTTCGTCTCTAAAACTGTTTTAAAAAAACCATTATCGCATAACCTTTAAGAACAATGACGGTGCCAAATTCTGCGCTTCTGGTGATGCAAATTTAAAATTTTTACTTTTCACATTGACTTTAAAATTTTCCATAAAACATTTTTTTTTCCCCCGACTCTTTTTCCTCGCCCCCCCCCCTCCAAAAAAAAACGAAAAAAAGCAAAAAATTCTTTAACTTTTTTTGCGAAAGTTTTTTAAAATTTTGGTGATTTTTGACTTTTTTTTTTTTCCTTTTAAAATTTTCTACTACATAACCTTAAGTCAATATAATTTTCCACATTGAAAATTCTCTTTAAAAACCTTTTTGGGAAAATGCGGTATCTGTTAGGGGTTTAAGTTTATTTCAAAATGATGGAGCCCTTTACACCCGCAAAATCATGGTATTGACTTTGAAAAAATTAAAAAGGCACTAAATTATTTATTTCTAAAGCCCAAAATTTCATGCAGGGTTTTTCCCCAGCTTTTGCTTTTAAAATTTTTTGCATTTCCGTTTGAAAAAACACAAAAAAATACCTTCGTTTTCATTCCCAAAGGGTTGAAAGAAAAATTTGTTTTTGACAAATTTGGGAAAAAATTTTTTTCCTTTTGCAGTTCGTTTCAAAAATTTAACTTTAAATGTCCAAAAAAACCCCTCAAAAAAATTAAATTAAAACTTTGGAAAAAAAACCCCCTTTACCAAGCTTCCCGGTTTTAAATGGGTAGTGGTTCAGGGTTTTGAGGGGTTTTTAAAAAAAGGTTAAATAAATAATTCCAATTTAAAACCCCTTTTAAATTAAAAGACAGATTAGGTTAATTTATTTGTCCATAATTAAAAATTTCACTTCGAAGTCGATAGTTTTATGATGTGCAAGGGAGACCTGAAAAATTTCACCCTTGCGGTTTTTTTCCAACGTTTTAATCGAGAAATAGATTCACGTCCCAAACTCCGTGCTTTTATATCAGCCCACAAGAAAAAAAAGGGGTGAGGGGCAAGGGGGTTTTAAAACCAACTCCGCCACAGACCCCCCCGGGCTTTTTTGGCTTTTTTGGAAAAAAAGCAAAAAATTAGTTTAAAATAAAAAAAATTGGAAAATTTTTTTCTTCTTTTAAAATTTTTGAACATTTTTTTAAAAAAAAAAAAACAAACAAAAGCTTTTTAAAAACATTTTGAACATTTTAAAAAGAAAAAAAAAAAAAAAACATTTTTGAACAGAGTTTCAAAAATTTAAACAACTTAAAATTCTTTGTGTTTTTCCCCGTGCTTTTCGTATGCATTTACCTTTTGGAAAAATTTTGAAAAAAAAATGAAAGGAAAACTTTAAAACCCAATCCCATTGTCTAAAATTAAAACATTTTGATTAGGGGTTCCTACCTTTTTTTTTTCCTGTGAAAATTCTATTTTATAGATAGGTTTAAAAATATTTAAAGTGAAAATTGTAACGGAAAAAAACATGTAGAATAAAAAAAAATCCTTACTAAAATATAACAACATTGTTGTTTTTTTTTAAAAACTAGGGAAAGGGTTAAAAAATAATTTAAGGGGTAAACAAAAAAAATTTTAAGTAAAAAAATATGCATAATTTCAATATCAGTTAACTTTAGAAAATATTAAAAAATTTGGTAAGAAATTTTAAAATTTAAACCGGTACCACAAAAAAACAAAGAGAACTCGACCCTTTTCTATAACAGATTGCGCCAAAGATTGAAAAGGCTCAGGGGATTTTTTTTAAATTTAAAAATACTTAAAACTAAAACAAACGTAAAAAGATATTTTAATATTTCAGCTCACATATCAAATTTAAAAGGGGGAAGGGAATAAATTTTTTAAAAAAATAAATCTTTTTGCTCCAAATCGGGCTAAATTTTTAAAAATTTTTTAAAGCGAACGTGGGGCATTCCAAATGTCCCCTTTTTTATTTTACGTTTTTTTAAACGTTAGCATTTTTCATGCGACGGATGTCCCAAAATTTTACACGGGATTTTTTTTAAAATGACAGAAAATTTCACTTTTATTTCATTGAATTCATCCCTGCCCAAAAATGGTGTTTCATTTAATTTAATTCCCAAAGTTTTTTTTAAAATTAAATGGCATTTTGGGTTCCCAAACGCAGGCCCCCTTTAAATTAACCATGGAAACCCCCACAACGGCAAAACGGCACAGCGTACTTTAAAAAATTTTAAAAAAAAATTAAGTCTGGTAAAAAAAAAAGGGAAAATTTTTGGTTCAAAAAATTTCCCGGGAAGTTTTTGGTTTTTAAAATGAAAAACCCCAAAAAAAATTTTCATGCCAAAAATTCTTATTTAAAAAATTGAAATTAAATTGAAATCATCCCTTTTCAAAGGGTTTGTAGTTTGGAAACGTTTATTTTTTTCCCAAAAAAACGCCCTTTTTTTCAGGCGTACGGGAAAACGAAAAACCTTTAAACAAAACATTTTGAAAAACCCAGTTTTCCCCGATGGGTCTCCTTCCCAGAAATCATCTGAAAATTGACAAAAGAAAACCTGACACGAGTATCTGTTTTTTAAAATTTTTTTGAGATTTTTGGGACTTAAAATCTTAAAAGAAAAAAACCCTTTTATCTTTGGGACGGGAAACCCCAAAAAATGCTCATAGCGTTAACAAATCTTTCCCAAATGGCCTTGAAGGAAAAAAAAATTTGTGCGGGTTAAAGGGTTTTAAATTTCCCGGCCCTTGCCAAAAATTTTTTAAAAACTTTTTTACAATTTTTTTTTTTGGCAAAATTCAAATTTGAAAAAATTAAATATAAAAACAGGGATTAAAATTTTTGGTTTTCCTTTTTCCAAATCTTATTTTTAAATAATGTTTGAAATTTTTTTAAAAAATCTTAGTCGCCTTTATTTTTTTTTGTTTTTAAATCAGGGAATAATACCCTAGGGGTAAAAAAAAATTTTTACAACATTTTTAAATTATTTCGTACATTTTAAATTATTTTTTTACTCAAATGGTTAAACAATGCAACTTTTTTTAATTAAAATTTTAAATTTGAATAAAAAAAATTTAAACATCTTTTTATTCTTTTTAATTTTAAGAATGTGTATCATTTTTCAAAGGGTTTTCAAAGTAAAAAACATTTTAAGAAAATAATATATTAAAAATTTGTAAGCGATAAGACATTTAAACCAAAATGGGGCCAAACATCCCGGCCCTTTTAAAACAAAAAGGGGACCCCTTTAAAGGGTAT